CACACACACACACACACACACACACACACACACACACACACACACACTTCTGCAGCATTCCATCTGGTGGTGAAATGGTGAAAACTCAAAATGCCAAACACCAGAGAGTAAAGCAGAAGGTAGCAAGAAGACTCTTTCATCACACTGACCCACTCACTGCTATCAACTAGGACCCTGGGATGTGCCAGGAACTATGTTCTCAGATATAGCAGTGACTACAGTACATGGAAACAAGCAGCTGATGAGTGAGCACATAGACTAGGGCCCAGTAATTTTACCCCTAGGTATGGACTCAACAGAAACACAGGCGTATGCACAGCAGAAGACATGAACCCAAATGTCACAGCAATACAGGTCAGTATATCCAGAGTGCTTGGGACCAGAAGTGTGGAAGGTCTCAAACCTCTTCAGATGTTGGGATAGGTAGAATAATGTGGTCTCCTGGAGATAGAACCCATGTCTCAACATGAGGCTCTTTTATGCACTGTATGCACAGCATAAAAGTGATTCACATGATATTCTTAGTTATTGGTACACAAGACGAGATTTCATGGCGTGAAATTTTCTGCAGGTGATGGCATGATATTGGTAAGAAATTTTATATTTTGAAGCATTTGGAATTTCCAGATTAAGCATGCTCAACTTTTAGTATTGACTGTAACTTAGACAACTTCTAAGTCTAACCTCACTAGGATAAAATGTGACCTATCCTTATAATGTGAGAAAATCTGGCAAGAGAAATGGTGCCGTCTGTCAGCAAACACCATCCAGAGATAATCCATCATATTGGACCCACAGAGACACTGCATGGATTTACAGAGAAGCCACCAGTATCTCAGGAACTGAAAATCTGTAGTAATTCAAGATACTTCCTTTGACGAGCAAGCCAGATTTCTCCAGGGCTGATGTCTGCATCTATAGAAACTTTCACTCGGCAGTGAACACATGGAGAGCAAAGGTTGATCCCTACCTCACTCTTCACATTTTTTCCTATTCCCTGTCTTTGCTTTGATTCTCTTTCTCTCACATATACAAGCTAACTTCTGAACAGAGAAGTAAGAATCTCTGGGTTGATTTTATTTATAAGTAAAATAAATAAAATAAAAAATAATGTACTGCTATGCACACCAGATGCACCTCCCAAGAACTGTGGTAAACAAAATAAGGCAAACAGAAAGCCCGTATGCCATATGGCTTCATGGGTAAAATTCATCCTTGTAAACATGCATTTTTATATTATAAACCAGACTGACTACTGCCCTGCTCCGAACTCTCCAACAGCCACTCGCCATGCCTGGAATAAAGTCCAACAGATGTGTCATAGTTGGCCCCTGTCCATCCTTTAATTAAAACAGTAAAACTAATCTGGCATAGATTCTGGGAGAGTGGGAAGTAATGAATAAGATAGGTACAAGGAAATAGGATTCCAGAGCCACTAATCTACCTTCCCAACCTTCTACCTACCATCCCTCCTTTCTTCCTTTCTTCCTACCCTCCCTCCTTCCTACCCTCCACTCAGCCTTCCTACCCTCCCTCCTTGTTACCCTTCCTCCCTCTTTTGTTCCTCCTTCCCTTCCTTCATTGATGTTGGGGATTAAACCCAGTGCCCATAGTAGGTGAGTGTTTTGCCCACTATGTAGACCATTCTGGCCTTGAACTCACAGAGATCCACTTGTCTCTGTCTCTCTGGTGCTGGGATTTAAAGGTGTGCACTACCATGCCCAAATTAAAATTTTAAAAGTCATGTGACCACTTTTCTTTGCCCAAGGAGATACACACACACACACACACACACACGTACAGAGACTTGCGTCTATAACCAAATCCTGTCCTCTGCTTTCCTGCAGTTTCTCCACTGGATGAGGTCACCTGAATGTGAGCATGCTTCGTCAGCTCTTTCAGCAAACAGAAGGTGCCCTGAGCCCAGCCTCCTGTGCAGATTCAGCTGCTGGCCTTCCACCACGCTGCATGATGACATGTGCTCGTGCCATTGCTTCCTGCACCTCAACTGTGCCTCCATTCCCTCCCACCCATAAAGGCCCCTGGGAAGTCACTGGTGGCCCTCCAGCCAGACCGGTGCCCCACAACCCTTAGTTCTGAACACAGTTGACCCTTTCCTTCTGAAAGATGCTTTCCAGCACTTGGGAATGAGCCTTGCCTGGTTTGTCTCTCCCCTGCCCTACTCCCAGCTCTCACTCACTATCCACAGCACTAGAAGTCCAAACGGCACATCGTAAGCTGCCCATCCACCTCCCTCCACCTTCCTCACTCTGCTCTGAAGCTGTGGTTTCTTCTGCCTCTCCCCTCACCCCATGTTCATCGTTCACAGCATCTGCAATGAACATATTCCCAACCTTCTGCATGAGCATGAGTCTCTGCTCAGGCCTCTACTCACATCACCTCCCCTGTGTACCAGCCAAGGCTCCCTGCATCTTCCCCAGCCTCTGCTAGTTCCTTCCCATTTCACCTCTTTCCCTTTATCCCTGCTTTAAACTATATTGCTGTGTTCGCTTCCATATCTGTTCCATGAGGTACTAAGCTCTGTGGGAACAGAAAGTGTATGCAGAGTGGTTCCTCAGAGCCCATGGAGATTAGCTCCTGAAGATGCTCGAATCCCTTATAGAAAATGTTGTAGTATTTGCATGTAACTGATACACACCTCCCATGTGTTTTATCTTCCTGCATGTTCCTGTATGCTTTAAATAACCACACAGTTCCCTATGACATCCGATGCAGTGTAACTGTTACATACATAGTTGTTATTGTTAGGAAATAACAAGAAAATACTCTGCCCATGTTTAGTACAAGTCTATTTTTTTTCTTTCTATTTCCCATCTGTGGTTGATTGACTACCAGTATACAACCTATGGCTCGAAAGAGCCATTGTGTCTATGGACAGAGGAGGATCACGGATGGATGGAGAGGCAGGTGAGTGTTAGGAAGATCCCAAGAGACAACACCCCTCTTATCAGAACCAGGTCTTTCTGTTCATGGTATGAGGTGCCAACACTTTCACAATGAAAAGCAGGGGGGAAAAAGACAGCCAGTCTAACCTCATACCTTTGTCCTGGTGGCAGATACCATTGGTGAAGACAGGAGAGTCAGGTACCCGGGCCACGGAGGGGCAGGGGGCAGAGCTCCAGGATAGCAAGCTTCCCCTCGTGCTGCTGTTGAGGCTCCCGAGTCTCATGAGCCAATGATCAGACAAGGAGGAGCTGGTGGAGCCTGCAGAAGAAGCAAAACAGAGAGCTGAACATGGCACATCTCTGAGGAGCCTGCAGCTAGGCACAGAATTGTTCTACACAGGTTTCCGGGCCCACCTCAAGAGTCCCAAGATGACTCCTATCTTTCAGTTCTGGACTAACAGAACCAGAGGGGAACTATAGAAACAAAGGTGAATGGCCAGAGGGGAAGCCTTCAATGGGACATCCTTGGAACCATAGAATTTAGAAACCTACAATGGGACATCCTTGGAACCATGATGTTTTAGTGAGCACAGGAAAGATAGTTCCTTGGTGCATTCAAATGTCTTCCATGAAATTATTTGTTGCCAACTCTGGCTTCCTAAATGGGACTACTTTTCCAGAGCCAGATTTCTAGGATTTTAGTAGTCACATTTAAATCCAGATTCAAAGTGATAGCATTTGCCCCCCAGAACCCATGGCACCAGATCCTATAGACCAATATACAGTGAACACACCAAGTTCAAGGGAGCCAAATCTTCATAATGGCATTAAGGATACCTCCCTCTGGCCTTCTCTAATAGGTTTATTATTATTAAACTGCATATTACTTGAGGAGTTTACTGAGTAGCCCAGGCTAGTCTAAATTCATGATCCTCCTGTCTCAGCTTCCCCTGGGATGAGATTATAGGTATGAGTCACCATGCCTGGATCTAAGTGTTTTATTCCTCTCTCAATGTCTGCCTTCTATAAATGGAAGGCAGGTTTGAGTTAGTTTTGATTCAAACCTGGAAGACTCTTCATTTTCTCTGGCTATTTTCCAATAATAATTAGGAAAAAATGAGGTGTGTGTGTGTGTGTGTGTGTGTGTGTATGTGTCCCAACAGCACTTGTGTGGAGCTCAGAGGATGCAGGAGGAATAGGTTCCAAGGATCAACTCAAGTTGCTAAGGATGGTGGCAAGCATCCTTATAGCTGAGCCATCTCACTGGCCCAGAACATCTCAACTCTTAAGATGACATCCAAACCCACCCCCTCCTGAGCTGTGGCACACACCTCTCATGGAGCTGCTCGCTGACCAGGGAGGGATGCTGTTCCGCTTCTGATAGAACAGGATGTAAGCCCCTCTGGTGTTGACCTCATCCTCTCGCAGGGGCTCCACTGTGCTGTCATCATAGCTGTACCACTGGCCATCCAGGGAGTTCCGGCAATAGGCTGTAAAGGTTCAATCCCCAAGTTCAATGCTTAAAGCCACAAGGCAAGAAGATGCTCCCCACAGGCAGAGCTCAAAAATGGAGATGCTTAAAGTAGGACGACAAAAATGTCCATTTTTAGCTAGAACTGATTTCTATAAAACCAGAAAAAGACAAAGTTTCACAACCAGGGTATCTTACCCAGGAGAGCTCACTGGAAGGTGAGTGCACACTGTCATCTCATCCAGCACAGTCTCTCCTAACACGGGGCCTGGTGTTACAAGGTCAGCCAGTACTGTCATCCACCACTCATCCAATTATGCTGAGACATGGCAAAGTGCACATCTCTTAATGATCGTGGAAAAGAAAATGAGACTCCTGGTTGCCTTTTCCTACTTAAGGAATGCCTTTTCTTACTTAAGGACTGAAGCCCAATATTTACGGAAAGATGAACGTGATTCTGACCACCTCTAACCAGCTATAAACACTTGGCCTTCCAAGCTCAGTGCACAGCCCCCAAACCCACTGGTCCTGAAGTTGGCCAACTTTTAGTGATTGGCCAGACCAGCAAGTACTCCAGGCCTTACCAGAATGTACAGAAATCAGTTCTAGCTAAAAATGCACGTTTTTGTTGCCCTACTTTAAGCATGTCCATTTAAGCATGTCTGAGAAAGGCCTTGTGCCTTTCTTGTCTCTCCCTTTCTGACAGTATTAACAAGGGTTTACATGGTCTACGCCTAATCACATGTGGCTCAATATGAGACTCCCACGACACACATGTAGATGTGGCCACATCTATGTCTTAACTCTTTGCTGCCAAGCCCAGGACCTAGGCTGCACAGGTCCCATGAGCCCTAGCTTTCGGACTTTTGTATTCTTCTCAGGATAGTACTCTCAAAATATGTCTAGAATACTTTATCAGTCCCCAATGTGAACTCTCACTGGAGGCTCAGAGACCGCCTCCCACAGCAATCCTTGCCTGCCTGCACCACTGTTGTTTTCTACCAATCTTTACAGAACAGTTATTTTAAAATGTACACCAGGAGATGCTTTTACTCCCCTACTGAAGACCTGGAGCTGGCCACTGTGACACAGTAAAACATTTCCTAAAACTCTTGGACTCTCCAAAGTGTCTTTGTATATGCTGATGATCTCTGTGATGGCTACAGCCTCTATCTAAGTGGGGGTCAGGGTAGGGTCAGTCCTGAAGACGGCCAAGGAAGTAGCCACAGGTTGAGACTTTAGGGCAATGAGAGGAGAAAAGGCCAAAGCCCAGAATAGAACCCAACACAGAAATGTAGAATCACTAAATTAAAGGGACCTTAGTAATGGTCTTGCAGGAACAGGTTCATGGTGGGGAAACATCAAGAAACTCCAGATCACAGACTTAACTGTGAAAATCGAAAACCTCAAAAGCACTGGAGGGCAACAGAGGAATGCAGTGAAATTGGCTTTTCCAGCACACCTCAAAGTCCAAAGTCATAAAAAGAATGGTAGACCAGTTGGCTACCTGAAATAATGAAATGTAAGCCTTCAGCAAGACAAGTGACTTCAGGGTCTGTTGGGACAGATGCTAAGGAGAGGCTGCTAACAATAGCCACATGGAAAACAGTTAAGGACACAGGACAGGACATTCAGGGCTCTTCAACACTGAAGAGGCTAGATCTGAAATATCATCCCCCCCCATCAGACTGGCAAAACTTGGGGGTGAGGGGTTCACCCATATAAGCTGTGGTGAACTCTCCTACAGGAATGCAAACACTTTCTCACTCCTTATACCCACCCTGTACCCTTGCAACCTTCCCAGCAACAGAAGAAAAAAGAACTCATTGTGGAAGCTATAGTGTGTCACAGTGTGTTTAAAGGTCTCTCTTTAGGTTGTCAGTTTTTAACCATTTTTTTTTAATTTTTAAAAATAAATACAAGGAGGTTTCCAGAACTGAAGAGCAAGCATAGTCCTGGTGAATGAAAAGACCCACACAGAGGGGCAGCCTGTGAAATTCCAGGGCAGCAGTGATAAAGGACCTGAAAGCTTCCAGAAAGAAACTAGATCCCAGAAAAGGAAAGGAAACTGGCTGCCCCATCTCCAAAGCAAGAGCCTTGTCCTTATCCCCATTCCCAGGAACATCCCTGTCCAAAGACTATGGGACACTCACCATTGACCTAGAATTCTATGTCCAACCAGCTGCCATTCAAGGTTAGCAGCAAAGGCATTTTAAGACATGCAGTGACTCAAATGTTGTACTTCTATTGCCCTCTCTTTGGAGCCACTAGGTGAGCTCCCCTAAATGAAGAAGCTGGTGATTGTCTATGGTACCCTATATGGAACACCTACTACTGCCTTTTTACTAAACCAGCATAATTCCTAACTATATGTTAAGTATTTACTCTTATACCCACAGATAAGTGTTGTTCTCACCCCTCACCAAAGAAATTTCTCCTTGTAATAGACAGAGATCAGTACAGAAAACCACAACTGACCAATCTGCAGAGAACAAGAGACCATGTGGTACTCAGTCCCAGCTGACACATCTACAACACAGCTCTCGCACCTAGGGCTTGGAACACTGAGGAAGGGCGGGGAGACGATAAGAACCAGAGGAAAAGAAGTCTGCTGTGAGACTGTCTCCTTGAAATTCAGGGAAGCTTCACCCATTGAGTCTCAACCACATGGCCACCTAAACAAGATCTGAACAGGGACAACAGCAATAGGTACAGTAACATGGACGGAGTAAACCTCACAGGGCCTCCGCCCTAGAGCAAGAAGTACAAGCAAATAAGGAAGAAATAGTCTTTCTCAGGGAAGATCTCCCCCTTCCTCAATTGGTTATCTAATACCAAGCTGTCAGGCCTGAGAGTACATATAACACGATATCGAGTGAGCAGGTTGTATTCCATGTTTAGGAATACATGTGTGTACACACATACACAATTAAAGAAAAAGAGATCATGAATTTGAGAGAGCAAGGTGGGAGTACCTGAAAAGAATTAGAGAGAGGAAAAGAGGACAAATGACATAATAATATTTTAATTTCAAAAAAGTAAATATTATTTTTAAAATCTCAGGTAACTACAGTGGGAAAGATGGTTCCTGAGATGCATATACACATAGATTTCAAGGGATTTGTACTGAGCTATTTTTAGCCCAGAGGAAAAAGACTGAGGCTCTGACTGGACAGGGTCCTCCAGGCTGAAACTGGTATCCCCTGTCACCTGGAGCAGGACGACTGTGCACGATGGGTCGGGTACCAAAGCAGAACAGCACAAGAGTAACCTGGTGCCTGCTGTAGCCTTTGTGTGATCAGCCAAGTCTCATCCTTCAGCCTTTCTCTGTTCACTCGCGAGGTCCTTGGTTCCCTCTTTTTCTCTGAGGGCACTGTACTAGCAGTGTGGCATCTGAGACCACAGGGATCAACCTACACAACTGTGTACCCACTGGACATGGAAGTGCTGCTGCCAACTGCTCTCCTACAGGCTTCTGCGATCACCAAGACGGGACAGAAGGAACGGCACTGGTCAAGAAGTGGTCAGTCACACCATCTCTGAGAACACCCATCGGGAAAGCTCCACTCTGAGAGTTTCTCAGCAGTTTGTTTCTCTGTTTTTGTTTCTCTCTTTTGTTTTTGTTTCTGTCTACTGCTTCTAAATGACCCAGATGAATAGAAATTAAAAGCACCCCACAAAATAAAGGGATGCCAATGTAGTAAGACTCTGTGTTACGTCATGAATGAGGGCAAACATCATATCCTGGTTCTGGTACTTTACCCTCCCATATTTGATGTGCCTGAAAACACAAGACACTACTGACATCATAGTGCAACATTCAGTCTAAGTCAACACCAGCTTCTCAGAGAACTGCGTACCGTCTCTTTTGTCCCCTGTGTGCTGTGGGTGACAAACCAGCCACAGTGAATGGGGAGAGTGCTGGCCTTCAAGAAGCACCAATTCTGGGGACACCTTGAGGCTCTGGCTAGAGCCAAGTCCCAAGGCAATGGCTGCTGCGCACAGAGAGGCATGGCAAGGCTCACCTGTGTAATGCCCACCTTGCAGACTGCCATGGTGGTTGCAGACAGCATACAAGTCGTAGAGGAAGTCCAGCGGGTAGGTGGTCGGGAGGCAGATGGGCTGCTTCCAGGAGGGCCAAGGGCCAGGCCCTGCCTTGGAGTTGGTGCTCCTCCGTGCTACATGGGGAGCCATGTTGAGTCCAGACAGTGGGAACTTCACCAGCGTGGAGAGCTTGTTCCTTCTCTCTCCCACCTGACAGAAGCGTTTCAGATGGATGATCAGGATGTCAGGCAGAGTCCATAAACTCAGCTTTACCACACCCTGCTGCAGGACTTGGCAGTGAGGGCACTTCCATGCATCATCCTGGGCCAGCTGGAAAGGAAGCCATCAAGACTGTGAGGCCACCACAGTATACAACCAACCCACCACAAGGCAACCAGCTCTCCTCCCAGCCAGGGAGTAGAATGGTGGGGGTGGGGTAAGGGGACAGACCTGCTCCTCCTTGGTATAGGACTGAAAACATTCGTCCAGGGTACAGCTGGGCTGCTGGTGTGCTTGCTGCTGTCGCCACACACTGTCTGCATCCTGGACCCTTTCCTCCTGGAGGCTCCCAAACAGGCTGGATGGAATGAGGGGGCACAGTATTCAGAGCTCTCCCTCCCGGAAGGATCTGACTGTCTCTAGACAGGAAACCTGAGCAGGGCATCGGACAGGCAAAGCTACCCTGCTTGTGGGTTCCTAAAACCTCCTGCACCCATGACTTTGCACTTACTCTTAGGGAATCACCGGTCTCCCCGACCAGTCCCTCAAAGAATCAAGTCCTAGGCTTACCCAACAGCACCAGCTTTAGTACCTGGCAAGAGGGGAAGTCGTACTTGATGGACTGAAACATGCCCTCTTACAAAGTCTGTCTGATATGCCGAGGCGCTATGAGAGACAGCCAAGTGAAGTGACGAGCCCAGATTCAAGCCAACCAGGCTGGGTTCAAACCCCAGCTCTGTGTGCGCCAGCTCTGTGCACAGGAGCCATGTGACTTAGGCATTGTTTAACCTCTGTGCATCTCAGTTTCAACCTCTAGGCAACTCATAGTCCTCCTACATAGGGTAGGATGAAGATGAAACCAATAGCTCATTGGAAATAAGTGCTCTGAGCAGTGAATGACCCAGGCTGAGGGTTACATGAGCATCTACTACACCTAAAACCCCCACTGACCCCATCATGGTCACTATGCCCATCGTGGCTATTTAAATAGACAGTTGTAAGTTCTCGAAGAGGAGTGACATCCATCATCTTGAGGTGTGTGTGCCAGATCTTACACTCTAATTAGAGGAAACTCTAGGACCAGGAAAAGTTTATGGTCAGAGGCCCATATCCCAGCCTAGTTCCACAGGAGTAAAATTCTATTAACTCACCGCTCTGTGACAGAGCTGTCCCATTCCACAGCCAGCTTGACGTGAGGAGGACCTCCTGGCCTCCTGAGGTGCAAAGCCCTGAGGAGAAAATGAGGAAGCCTGTCAGAAAACAGATCCTTCCCACAGCCCTCAGGGCTCAGTGGCTGGCTTTCCCCCTCCTCCCTGGCAGAATGTTCCAAACAAAAACACCACGAAAATGACTACAAACCACACTGAAGGTTTCTAAGTCTGCTGAAGGCCTTAGCTCTCTGCCTACCTTTTAACGCCCTTTCACTGAGGTTCTCAAGAGATGGGAGCTCTAAAGCCTTCTAGCTTCTATGACTCCATTAACTGCTTTACTGAAGGTCCTGCTACTTCTTCAGGGTCTACAAGACACATTGCCATGATTTGAATATGAAAGGTCACCCACATGCTCATACCACCAGCTGGTGACATTCTTTAATAGGGAAGCTTATCTGGAGTAGGTCACTGGGCGTGGGTCACTGGGAGTATCCTGTCTCTAACTTCTTGCATCTCTGTTTCCTAGCACACATGAGGTAAAGAAGCTTCCCTAGTATGTGATACTCTGTCTTACCACAGGCCCGAGAACAACAGAGCCAGCTGAACTGAAACCATAAGACAGAGTAAATCTCCCCTTCCCGGAAGGAACATAGTCACAGCACCACAATGTCAGACAAACACCCAATGAACATCTCACACAAAAAGGCAGTATTGATGAAGCCCCAGAAGAACTAACATCCCTGACCACAACAATGCAGGAGCCACTGCAAACCTGCCCACACCACTCCAGTCTTGAAAACCCTCCAATGCATAAAAAAAAAATCTCAGTGAGTAGAACTTCACTCCTCCCAACGTCCGGGGCTCCACTCATTTCAGAAAAGCAAGAGAAATGAAGAAAGGAAGTGAAGGGTAGGAAGTTTTACCCTGAATCAAGAAGAAAAGTAGTGACCAAGTTCAAGCCCAAAATATTGGTTAGAATGTGTGACATTGTCCCAAGATTCAATAGAAAATTCTGGACTCACAGAACTTTCACACAGTGTGAAGAGTGTACTTCATAAGAGTACACATAGCAAGTACAATGATTACTTTGTCCTACCACTTTTACGTACTTAGGTGCTTCAAGTTCCTGTCATAGATGGTAACAACTAGTACAGGCTGGATCCAGCCCGGAGAGCACATGTTGAGGAATTAACTGTCATCTCCAACACCGAATGCCATAAAGACCCTTCTTCCCTAGTACTTCCCTTCCTGTTAGATCAAAGCAGGTCCTGGCTGACACAGCTCCTGTCTCCCTAACTTAACAGTTTAAAATGGGTATAAATGCGGTATTCTGGGGAGACTTCTGGTCTACCTCTACATTCCAGATTAGCAGCTCAAGCTGACCAAGTCAGGAAACCAGAGAACCTTACAGTGGACTACGCTCTATGGGAATATCAACAAAGTATCAGATTACTAATATAGACAGCAAAATCACCCTGTGGACACTGTGCCAGCCCTGAAGCAAGGGCTTCACTGTGACAAGCTATTGAATAGACATGCAGAGCATCATGAGGTCAGAGGCACAGGCTTGTCAGCCCCTGAGGCTTTATCCCTCAGCCCTAGTCCACAACCCTTTACAGTTTAGGACTGATGATAGTTATATGATTCTCACCCAGCTCTAAGGGGACACTCATCCTAACTGGGTCTGAAGCATGACCTAACCACATGGTGAGTGCATCAGTTAGACCAATCTGGGTGCAAACTCCGGCTTCTCCAGTCACCAGCTGTGTAAGTATGAGCAAGTTGATCTCTGGTAATCTCATTGCCCTCTCATCTTTGAAGTGGCCATGCTTGGACATAGGGTTAAAAAAAAGGTAGCAAAATGTGTCTAAGGACCCAACAACGTAGCTGGTACTAGAGAGGAACTGATAAAGAATGGCTATCATTATCAGTAGTTTTATTGTTACATAGTCTTCTTCTGTAAGCTTAGCTCAGTGAGAGCACAAGCTATCTCTTCCCTTACCTGTCAACTGCCCAGTGACAAAGGGGCCAGCTGTCCTGTGGAGATAAGTAGCTGCAGGCCAAGGAGAGCCCCACAACTCGGATGGAGAACAGAGTCCCCAGGTCCTGCCATGATAAAACCAGAGGCAATAGTTTATCACGTAGTCCCTGTGGCAGAGCAACTGACTCTATGTCATGTAAATTAATCAAAAGCACAAGTACTTTTCTCTATAGTATTTGGAATAGTTTCTTAATAACTGGTATTTAAAATGGAGAGACACAAAGGCTTCATTGTTTTGAAGATTCAGACTTTTAATGTAATGATCTAATGCCATGCTTGACCCACTGAATGCAACCCCACACACAATGAACACAGTATATACATAAAACACAAGAGTTTAACTGAAGTAGATACTGATAAATAGAGAGTAAAATCGATTTTTAGTCAATTATTGATAACTAGTTCAACCTTCTTTATGGACAGGATTATCATCACCACAAATAAGATAGCCGTGTAAAAACAACTTCATACACACATGCTGATATTCTAGCATTTCTGAAACTGAAGCAAGTCTTACGGAGATACACTTACATTATAGGTGCCTCAAAAAAAAAAAAAAAAGAAAAAGAAAAACCAGTGGGACAAATAACCCAATTCAAAACTGTCAGAGGACCTGAATACATACTTCTCCAACACAGGCAAATAACAAAAGTGTGACAGAAGATGGTGGCTACCATTTGTAAATAGGAAATGTGAACCAAAGAACCAAGACCACAATGAGCTGTCATTTAAACCCACCAGAACAATTATATCTCTATCTATATTCTAATTAAAAAAAGGGAGAGAAGTAAGTGTTGGGGAGGATGTGAAGAAATGGGAACCCACATGCACAGTTGGTGAGAATGTCTAACAGTGCCGTGGATATCAACTCAGAGTTTCTTAAAAGGTTGTGCCTACAGATACCATCTGGTCCATTAACGTTACTCCTGTAAAGGTAGGTGAACTGTAAGTGTGGGGACTTCAAGGGATGTTTGCAAACTCATGGTCAAAACAACATTGTTCCCTATAGTCAAAAGGTGGGACAACTCATATATTAGTAACAGATAAATAGGTAAATAAGAAGCAGTAGATACTACAACTCAATTTCACCAGGGCTTAAAAAAGGAGGATTGGGATGGAAATGTAGTTTGGTGGTAGAGCACACTCTAAGCAGGCTCTAGGTCAGACCCCAGAAACACACATGCACACAACACACTAAGAACACACATACAAATAACACACACATGCACACACACACTAATAACAGAACAGTAGACATCTGCCATCTTTGTGGTAGTAACTTATCACCTTTATCTTCAGCCTGAACTTCTAGGCTTGGGAGAGCTTTATCGTGTGCAACACCCTGAGGTCCATTTTAGGCACACTAGGAGCTAAGGGTGGAGGAAAACCTGGCATATGCTACAGGTCTAAGGAGCTAGTAATGGAACAGGGTATTCTGTTATTCTGTTAAATGGAAATGGGTACAGAGGTTTTTGTGGGAGGATCATTTTAAAAACTGAAGAGTACAGTAATCATTATACAGGATGGCAAACCCAATTAACACATACTTATGAATGGTTAAGTTATATATTTTGCCAAAAAAAAATCAATGCAGTCTGCATTCAAATGAAGAAATAGTTTTTAAAGCTGTCACTCAAAAAATTGGCTACAGTCAAAAAATAAAATAACATTTCCTTCTAAATTAAAGCCGACAGCAGACAGCTGTACTTAAAATCCTGGGCGAGATGTACGTCAGATTCCGTCTGGCAAGAAAAAAGGAGGGAAGCATTCTAATTCCAGGAAAGAGTAACATCCATCGCTTTGGAAGACCAAAGGTCCAAACCACAGTGAGACAACTGTGAGGGCCTGCAGTGGCTGTGGCAGCTGCAAGGAGAGCAGGAACAACAGGCAGGACAAAGCTAGAACCATGTATAAGGTTGTTCTGTTTCAATGTAATTTAATTATTTGTCTCCCTGGGTTTGTTTTCAGTGAACACTTGGTCCATATGGCAGCCTATTAGTAGGTAGGGTCTTATGAGAGATGCTTAGGTTATTGGGGCATCCTCAAAAGGAGCTCCAAAACCCTAGTTCTCCAACTCTCCCATCACACCTGAGGTATGATGGCTTTGTTCCCATATGTTCTGCCACAGCGTGTCACCACCTGTCATCCCTATGGGAACTGAATCCATCTAAGCGCCATGTCTTAGAACCCTCAACACTCCCAGGTCTATAAGCCTTTCTTCTTCATGAACCAGTGTCTGTGGGGATTAACACAGTGACGTGATACTGAGTAGCACACAAGAGTAGACAGACCAGTGGTTCTCAATCCCTGAACAACCCTTTCATAGGGGTTGACTAAGACCACCTGCATATCAGATACTTAGATTACCATTCATGAGCAGTAGCGAAATTACAGTTATGAAGTAGCAACAAAAATAATCTTAGGGTTGGGGTCACCATAACATGTGGAACTGTGTTAAAGGATTGACGCATTAGGATGGCTGAGAACTAGTCTAGACAGTGAAGTTCAGGGACTACTGTCAAAAGAGAAAACCACTCATGTATCCACCAATGACAAATGTACAGCGTGTGGTTAATCTATGGTTTGACTAAACCAAATGAATAGCTGGAAGCCTGCTAACCTCAGAGGCTTTGGTTCAAATTGGCCATGGAAGGGTGTACACTTTCTAAGAACGTTAATTTCAATCCAGGAGAAAAAAGAAAGGTTTCCTTTGTGAGTCCTAACTGACTGGGTCTTGCTGTTTGCACAGGGAGACCACCCTTAACCAGATCCCAAGATCTATATGGAGGCAGCCAACCCTGCATAAAGAAACAGTGCTGATCTCACACACCCAAGTTTAAATGGTGACCATAAAAAATGTTTTTTCAGTGGTAACTCTTTTTTCTATAATTCATGTAAATTAATTCTCTCTAGCAAATGGCTCATTTTTATAAAAAACTACTTTCCTGTCCTCTATTCTAGAGTCAGCCAATTCATTTTAGAACCTTCAATGTATACTTAATCTCTTCAGCTCAGTTTTGAGGACTCTGGATATTTTCTTTTCAAATTACTGCCATGTGGAGCCAATCTTTGATAGAATATTAAAAGGATTAAGGCTGGGGCCGGAGAGATGGTTCAGTGATTAAGAACACTCGTTGTCCTTGCATAGGGTCCAGATTCAGTTCCCAGCACCTACATGAGACAGCTCACAACTACCTGGAACTCCAGTTCCAGGTGCTTAGACTCCCTCTTCTGGCCTCCTCAGGTAGTGCATACATGTGCACATACAGATGAGGAGGCACACACATACACATAAATAAAAAAGTAAAAAATAACATTTTAAAACCAGTATGGGTTAAGTAAGAGGGCTATCCTGAGAGCCTTGCCACCATCTGAGCACGTGATTCCTAGAGCACATCGTGCCCGACATCACATTCTCCAACAAGGAAAAGCATCCAGCGGCAGGCTGAGGCTTCCTGCATTTGAATCCTGCTAACCACACTCGTGTTTCGATTAGTTCCTAACATTGAAGGACTGTAAGGACACAGACGCAGTAAATGCACGCAATAAGGTAAGGAACAGGACCCGCTGAGGAAGGAAGAGGCAGCTGAAACAAACGCCCACATGAAAGTGGCCTCATCTCCTTTTAACCATCGGTAGCACACAGTCTGAGGGACAGCCACCACTGTTACTAGGGAGCCTGACCTACTTGTGGAGAAGCTCACTTCTAATTCAGGCTCTTCAGTACAGCGAACAGATCCTTTAGATATAAAGGTTAAATATAGTGAAGGTTTTTAACAAGTTGCTTTTTGGTATGAACCCTAAATCAAATGTACAGGGTCGTCTTTGAGTAGGAAGAAATAGCCATTGTGAGAGATTATCTATATAAAACAGTTTGGTATAACCCCACTGAAAGGCTCTTATTAAACAGTTTCTAAACCAAGACACTACTGATGCGACCTTAAAGCTCCCAGAACCTTCCCTGCCAAGGCAGTTCTTGACACAGAAGCTGTAAACCTACGGATTTATGGCTGCTGAAAGTCAATGGGTTTTAAACTTCCTTAAAAATTTTCAGGACAAGACGGTATTTTTTCTTTTTGTTATAATCTTTTTTTCTTTTCTGTGGTGGTTCGTTTCTTTATTCTTTGGTTTTTCAAGACAGGGTTTCTCTGTGTAGCCTTGGCTGTCCTGGAACTCACTCGGTAGACCATGCTGGCCTTGAACTCAGAAATCCGCCTGCCTCTGTCTTCCAAGTGCTGGGATTAAAGGCATGCACCACCACCGCCCAGCTAAACTCAGTTTCTCAAAACAAAATTATTTTACTATCTAGATTTTACCCATGGACATTAGTCTCATCAGCCATGAATTTTTCACAGTAATTATATCCCAAGGGCTGGCAGCATGGCTCAACGGGCAAAGGCACTTGCTGCCAAGCCTGGCAACCTGAGTTCAATCCCTTCCACACTCGCATGGTGGAAGAAGAGAGCCGAGTCCCAAGAGCAGTCTCTGACACTTATGTGCACCATGCAAGAGCATGCACATAAACACACACAATAAGCAAAGAAAACTGTATTTTAAAAATATAAACAAAAAATGAAAAGAAATTCTGTTTCAAGCCAGGGGTGGTAACTCATGCCTTTAACCTCAGAACTTGGGGAAGTTGAGGCAGGAGGACTGTCACAAGTTTAAGGCCAGCCTGGACTACAAAGTAAGATTTTGTCTCAAGAGAGGTTGGTAAAGAAGAAAAAAAAGGAAATTTTATCAAGTACCTTCAAATTTTTATCTAGATGTGTAAGCTACAATTTACTCTGCCAGCCCTTAGTGAAAACTATGGAAAGCCATAAAAACACAAGTTGAGAATAATAATTCAAATGTTAGTCTTTATTTCAGTGACGTCTCCTAATGTCAGAAGTGAAAACACTACAAAGCCACAAGATAACTGCTTGCACATAAATGCCACACAAGTACGCACACACTGCGTGCACGCACACACACACACACACACACACACACATACACACACACACCACACGCATTTGCATACAGACCTGTGCAGAGACCTCACTCCTCATGAGGCATCGAACCTTGCTGAGAATACACTGTTGAAGCTGGGCCCAGGAGATTGTTCTATCTTCCCGAATCAAGAATGGTGGCCCAAACCTGAAAATCCAATGAAATAAGTTATTTCCGAAGAGGAAATCCAACAAGAGTCATGAATGTTTGCTTTGCTCTGGTTCCTCTCTAGTGGATTACTGAATAGTTAGGAGCCAAGCACAATATGGAGTTGCCAGTTGCTTACATGTGTTCCACACAGAAGCTGCAGTGCAGACTATTCCAAGAGATGTGCTCCCACACCAGAGAACAGAGGAAGGGGACGTGGGAACAAGAGCAGAGCATCCAGAAGACAATACCATCAGTGTCCTGTCTCAGGAATGTTCTCATTCCTGGGAAGTTTTCCATATCCCAACCCACTGAATGTCCAGAAGTAGGCTTGCCAGTGAGCATAGGATGTCCTAAGGAGCTCCAGCTCTGCCACAGGCACCCTGGCTGTGAGAAGATCTGACAGGATAATGCAAAACTGTTGAACTGATGTTGGTAAAACTGAGCACAGACATGAAGGCCCCTGTCTGGATGGGGAAGGGCCCCGTGCTGCCACTGAGTAAACGGATCAGCTCATCAACCTAGTCCTGTGATGTGAAGCATTCTGAGTTGCTTCCAGTTTGTTAATATTTGAACAATGCTGTTTATGGCAGGAACCACACATATGCTTAGACACAGGCCCTCCACTATGTGTGACCACGTGTCCTCCTAGGATGGAAGTTCTATAAATAGAAAGGCAAAGCCAATGCTTCTTACCACCAAAACACCCTACAGAAAAGCCACGGCAGTTTACCAGGGAAGCAAGCACCTCGACTTAGGTCCCTGGATAAAGAGCTGGCTTTTTGTTTTACCATCTTGACAAATAAGTTGGTTTGTTCTTGCTCAGAATGACTAGTGCAGATTTCCTTAGCAATCTGAAGAACTAAAATAGAATCTCACTACTTAAGTTAGAATTTCCCCACTACCAATGGTACTGAATCATTTACCCTATGCATATGCTTCTGTGGACTCCTCTTACTATGTTCTCATGATAAGATAACTCTTGTTATCTGAGTGAGAGCTAGATTTTCCGTGACTGAGGTGAATTCTTCAGTCTCACAAGACATACGTATTTTCCCTCATTTTCTTTTGCCTTTAAGTTTTTACATTTTATTTCAGTTTAAAATGTTAATTTTTTGAAACATAAGCCTCCTCTTTCGTGGCCTTCTGTTTTATGTGTTATAAAAACAGCCTCTTCTACTCAGAGACATAAATATTCTATGTTGCTTTTCTGTTTTGTCTGCTTTGTTGAGAAAGGGACTCACTCAGGGGAGTGCCAGCATGTTCACCTACACTGCTTTTATGGTAACTTTTCTGTGACTACATTTTAATTAATTTGGAATTTATATGTAAAAATTTAAGCAAGAGGAAAGATTGTTTTAAAATAAAAAGCAAGTTGTTCAACCTTAATTATTGGATAATGCAGCCATCCCAGGACTATGAGATATATCTCATTTTATCATAAAGTAAATATCTAAAGATACTTTGGCCAATTTGGTTCTGTGATTATTTTCATATTCTTTTATCCCTATCATAATATTTTAAAAATTAAATTTTCATTGAGCTGTATGTCACACTATACTCCTATATAGGATTCTAGGAACTAGGTAGGAGGCTGAGACTGAAGGATTATGAATTTGGGGCTAGCCTGAGGAAATTCAAGGCTAGTTTGGGCTACAGAATAAGACACTATTTCAAAAACACATCAGCGGTGGTGGCAGCATTGTGGTTGTCGCCATGTTATTCCTATCACATTATGATCCCAGATAACTCTTAGAACCATTTTTTATCAATCTAAGCACCTCTCAAAGGAATTCTCTGGTGTTTTTATTTTGTATTGCTTATTTAGTGCTATGCCTTGTATACACTAAGCTGTTATGCTACAGCACTGAGCCACACCAGAATTCTCTCTCTGTATTTTAAAGTTTATTTTATTTTGTGAGTATGACTATTTTGCCTGGATACATGTATGTACACCACATGCATGCCTAGTGTCTGCATAGGACAGAACGAATCTTCTTGGCATTGCAAAGAGTTGTGAGCCACCATGGGATATTAGGAGCCAAGTATGTCCTCCTTATGAGCAGCCAGGGCTCTTAACCATGATCCATCTCTCCAGCCCCCAGACTCCTTTAGACACTTCATCTGCATTTTAGCTAGCACATGATCAATATACATATTTACAGGGCCCACTGCAATGTTTCAATGCATGCACACACTGTAGAATGATCAAATCAGGGTCATATCTATCAACCAAACAGTCACAATTTCCTTAAGACACTTAATCTGACTATATCAAAAAGTTGTCTGTTTTTGAATATTTATAATATAACCAATCACTCTCCTGAACCCTTTAATTAGTTTGAATCACGTTCTAGTTCATGTCTTCCAGACAAACTGTCAAACTACAAACAGTGCTGGGTTTTATTTCCTTTACCTCCACCTTTTTATTTCCCCCTAGTGACCTGTCTACTGTGTAGCTCATGCTGACCTGTAACATGCTACATAGCTGAGGCTGGCCTCACAATCCTCCTGCCTCAGCCTCCAGACTAACGGAGATTACAGGTGTGCATGGTCATGCTTCGCTTTCCTCTTGTAGCCAGTTTTCCACACTGGCTGGCTGCTGCTAGCCCTCGTGACGCGATATAAAGTAGTAGTGGCGTGGACCATCACAACCGTTCCTGCAATTAACAGGAAACCTCTGGTGTTTAATTAAGGATGGTGTCGCCATCTGCTCGAGGCAATTACAGCTAATCCTCTTGCTCAGAAGCACTCTGCTCTCATCTTCTACTTTATTAACAATGGGAATAAATACTTATTTTATTAAGTTAGAATTATTCTAGATAGAATCCAAGTATAGAGCCCAGTATGGTGTAATCCTAGCACTGGGGAGAAACAGACAGGAAGACCAGGAGTCCTGAGCCAGTCTTGATATATAGTGAATTTAAGGCCAATCTGGGCTATATGAGATGAAGAAAGAGAAGGAGGGAGAGAGGGAAGGAAGGACTGAAGGAGAGAGGGAGAGAAGAAAAGAGAGAGGAGTGGTGAGCACAGGTCTACAAATCCCACTTATCACATGAACACAGGAAGGAGGTTCACATACCTGCTCGCCTGCTGCCCTGACCCCACCAGGTTACAGAAGAGGATGATCACCCTGTTCTCGCTGTGGAGAGGCGCAGAGAAGCGCTGGCTGTCATGAACTGCCAAGCGCGGTGACATTGACAGACAAGATGGATGAGCTGGAGAAGAGAATGATACCAGAGCATCCAGTCACTACTGAGGAAAGAACCCGCGGGGCCCCCCGCCCCCCCCCCCCCCCTCTGAGGGGAGATGGCTCCTGGCTCCTGGCATACAAAATTCATATACATATGATTTTGTGGTTGTCATCAGCCAATAATTTTAAAAGATGGGCCTGAGTTTGATTAGAAAATTTCAAAAGCAATCTGAAAAGCAACCTGAAATTACTTGGGTTGCTTTTATGTCTCCAAGAGAACCTTAGAGCATCCCCTACTGGGGACAAAAGAGAGGGCCTCTAGTTCTAACCAGTTCTGAAATACTGATTTTTTTTTTTCTCAAGGAATGTATGTGTTACTCATGATTAAATTTGAAATGAGGACTTATTTCCCTGGGTTATAACACAGTCAAGGTCAATCAGTGTTTTGTTCCAGATTATGTGGCCCGCTACTCTCCTGTTAACACAGAGAACGTCAAACATCTGCTTCCCACAGCTCACTGACTGGGCTACCTGAGGACACAGGCTCAGAGCACAGGAGTCATCCGAGGTGTGGCAAGCTGCCATTCACATTACCAACCCTACAATACTATGCTTCTTCCTACTATGATAAATAAATTTTCATTTGTAAATTCAGCACAGTGGGAGAATAATAACAAAAAGTAATAAAACAGAATGGTAACAAGTGGCTACCATCAAGGTTATTTAATATCTACCAATTGTGGGGCTGGAGCACAGGTAGAGTGACTACCTGACTGGCTTGTGTAAGTCCCTGAGTTTGATCCCCAGTACCACAAAACAGAGATACACATTAGCAATGGGTAGTTTTGAAATTTTTCATTTAATGTTTTGAGAGCTCAGGGGGTTGTAGGTAACAGAAACTTCAAAAGGAGAATATGGAAGTAAGTGGGGGGCTGCTGCATGCTGCAGTGGGGTCTTTAAACATGGCCTTCTAAACTGGCTAATTGTGCTAAAATGTACAGTGATACACAATGGAAGTTAGCTTTTTTAAAAAAGACCACATTTACCTGTCAGAGATTAATGTGCTCTTCATCTCTTTGCCTGTCTACAGCTCAACTGGTAGGAATTTGATGCCAGACATGAGCTGTGAATTGTAACAGTCTTGAAACAAAGATGACATCAGCACCTCCTGCTAAGCAAAGATTCTCAGAGTGTGGTCCCTTGACCTGCAGCATCAGGGCCATGATTGACATGCAGATTCTCAAGCCCCTCCTCAGGCCTTGTGAATCTGAAACTCTTGAGAAGGAGCCCAGAAGTCTGCTTTAAGTAGCCCTCTGGGTAATTGTAATACTCACTGAGATTTTTAATATCAATCATCTGCAGGTAAGTTACAGAAGAAATGAGTCTAGCAATTACAAGCCTTAAAGGCTTCTGCCTTAGCACCCTGAAAGATACCCCACCTCACACTCACTCATGCCGTCCCAAACAACTTATGTAAGACACTACTGTACCTGACAGTGTCCCCGGACCAGGTGAGGGAGGGACTTGGAAAGCATACACATTGTCACCCTCTGCAATGGTATTCAGGTCCTCTTCATCAAAGAATGACCGCTGGAATCCATTGGGATACAGTTCAACCAAGATCACCTGAGATGAGAAGGATCATTTTCTCAAAGAGAACCCACTAGATAAGAATTCAAAAACCAGGCCAGTGAGATGGCTCAGTGGGGAAAGGTGCTTGCTGCCAAGCCTGATGACCTGAGTTTGATCCTTGGAACCCACACGATGAAAGGAGAGAACCAATTTCTGTATGTTGTCCTCTGGACTCCATATGTGTGCATACACACACGCGCGCTCACACACACACACACACACAGACACACACACACATACACACACACACACACATACACACAAGTAAACATAAAATTAAAAAATAACTCAGCCTTAAAACTTATTTCTCCATTCCTTCCAAGTGTCTACATATCTTAAATCACAAAATATAGAAAACAAAATAATTTGGTTAACAACAGACATTTTAACTACAACCACACAAAAATTCTAAAAAATCTAAAGTTTTATATCTAACTAACCTGCCATAGCACAAATAGGATAAAAACCACTCTCAATAAATAAAAACTGATCTCCATGAACAGTGCTCCACTAAGAGGGGCTCAACATGGTGCTACTGATGTTTCTCATGTGTCCGGCCTGAAAAACATGTTCATAGAACACAAGATGGTTTACATTACAGGAAAGAGACCTGGCTTCCCTAGCATCCTGATATACAGATCTCACAGTGTCCATTTGAGGCACAGCAGCTGGGAAGTTCTCTTGTAAAAGATGTATTTCAGGCTTTACAGAAAAAAGGGGGGGTGAACCAGAAGAAAATTTTGAGTTGTAAAATGAACCAAAGAAAGTAGTAATTAATATTACTAATTACATAAACATTAAATTTAAAATTTCACTATCCATTCAAACCATAAGACCATGAAACTGTGTTTAACTACAAGTAGGGGGCAGATACTATAGTCTAGAACTATAAGAACTACTATTAACTATCTACAATAACGTTTTTGGAGAGGGTCAGGGTCAAGGTTGAGAGAAGTTCTCAGTACATATCCCTGGCTGGCCTGGCCTGGAATCTGCAGCAATTCACATGCCTCAGCCTCTCAGATGCTGAATTATAGTCATGAGCCAACAATACCTGGCTACTATCTGTAGTAATATCTAAATCAAAAAGATTAAGAAAATTGAAGCACTTAACAAAGATCTTTGTGTTGCTTTGAGAAGATTTAACATTAGAATTTACTCATTTTTTATACTGGCTTTTAGTAAAAATTAAAATAAATTAATATATGGAACCTAAGTCATAAGACATAGAATAAATACACCCAGATGCTTCCATTACCATAGACACACATGGCAATCAAAGAAATCAAAACATCAAGAGGGATGTTCAGTTTCAATCAGACTATCTATCCTGTCCTGACAGCATGTGAGTTCCATGCCCCTCACAAATGCACTGGACACTCCACATGCCTGACAGTCCTGAGGGGCTACTCAACCTCCATCAGATTGGCCCTTTCCATCTTCCATTACTGTCACGTTTCCCAAATGTTGTGCTCTTCCCCCACCACACACACACACACACACACACACACACACACATAGTTCCCTAGAACACTTAAGAGTTCACTTGTTTTTATATTTTTCATTAAATATTTTTCATTTATTTTTATATGAGCGGGGCCTGGAATGTGCAAACCACAGCATGTGTTTAGAAGTCAGAAGACAACTTTCCAGAACAGTTCCTTTCTCCTTCTACCATGAACTTAGGTCATCAGGCTTGAAGGCACCATTACAAGGAAAATATGCATTATTTTTTCCCTGTGTGAGAGTTTCTCCAGGTAGAAATGGCGGTCAAGTCTACTCAGATAAGAGTAGGAGGGGGGCCAGTAGACTGATGGAATCGTATCCAAGGTGATTCTACAAATATACAGACATAGCCACTACCTTAAGATGTGAATACTTTGTTGTATGTGTGTTATAATGTACCTAACAAAAGACTTACACATATTTTGTTTAATTTTAAAAGGTCCTACCAGGTTACCTAGGAAACATAAATTTTCCATTTTATAGTTAAAGAAATAGAAGGCTGATCAATTACTTGCAAGGCCCAAGTCAGAGAGCTGGAAAGCATCTGAGTCACAGCTAGAACCCCACTCAGAGCCCCTCTGTGATATTAGTCTTTATTGTCAACTGACTGGATTTAGGATCATCATGGAAACACAGCAGCAAGTGCCCATGGGTATATTTCTAGAAAGGTTTAATTGAAGATGAAGACCCACCATGAATGTGAGCACCACCAGCCTGGGGCTGGACGGAATGCAAAGGCAAGCTGAGCACCAGCAGTCATCTCTTTGCTCCCTGACTGCAGATGTGTGACCAGCTGCCTCACCCCTGCCCATCCCCTCAGCAGTGACAGGCTACAATGTAGCCCTCAAAGCCAAGATGAATCCTTCCTCCATGATGTTCCCTTTTGTCATGTATTTGGTCACAGCAACTAGGAAACTCAAGTAGCCTCTCATCTTGCCATGCTGCTTGTCACTGTATCACTTTTATCCCAACAGGTCACTGGGGTCCTCTGGGCACAGTAAAGCCAATTCTTCACCAGGACTCCTTAAGAAGCAAAATCAAGCCAAGTGTGGCAGCTCACACCTGTAACCCCAGCACTCAGGAGGCTGAGGGAAGAGAATTTCCATGTGTGAGACCAGCCTGGGCTTCATAGTCAGCTCCACAGGCAGTCTAAATTACAGAGTGAGAAGATCCTGTCTCAAAAATTAATTAATTAATTAATCAATTAATTAATAACTAAATACATGAAACAAAGACAGGTCTGGTGGTACATGCCTTCTAAGCCACAGAATGATGAGATGTTGTCTCCAAAAATCAATCAATCAATCAAAGACAGGTTTGGAGGTACATGCTAAGATGGAGGCAGGAAGGTCATGTAGTCAAAGCTATCTTGGGCTACAAAGTAGGCAGTCTTAAGACAGCAGATCAGTTTTCCACCCTCTCCATCTCCTCTCCTGTGACAAACCTTCAATGTCTGCATCTTACTGAGCATCATCCCTTCAGTACCCAGCCGATTTTCTCAGGAGTGGAAGAGCATAAAACCACATGCGTTCTGATTTCAGCTTAGCCACCTCCTAGCTGTGTGACCTTGGACAATTCGCTTAACCTCTCTGAACCTTTTTCCTCTCTTCAAAAATGAAGATCTCTGTAATATCTTCTTTACAAGATTGGCCAGGATTAACTCATGGGATAGCAGAGCACAGTGGCACATGCTTATAATCTCAACACTGGAGAGGCTGAGGCAGAAGGATGGCTAGGAATTTAAGGCCACCCTGGAATATATATAGGGTACCAGGCCAGCCAGAATCATGTAGTGAGACCTTATGTCAGAAGAGAGGGAGAGAGGGACAGAGAAAATAACCATAGGACAGTGCCCACACTTAGTAAACATGACTGGTTAGCTGCTGTTGGATCACAATTACCATCACCTTCTGAACTGCAAGGTGTCTCTTTGCTGTCACCCTGAGTAATAATGCAGGGAGAAAAGAAGGCTGGGTCACCACAGACACCGAGGGACAACTAATCAAGTAGAAGCCAGTGAGTCATGCTAGAGTCATCTGGGAACCACACATTAGCCTGGGCAGCTGGCCCAGTCAGCATTCTGCCATTCAATGGCCAGGCCCCAGCCGTTCCAGCACACCTCCTCTGCAGGGACGCCTCCTTCCTCCGCAACCATCTTCCTCAAGGCCGCCACCGTGCTAAGGATCGGCACAGCCAGGCCAACACGCAGGAACCGCTGGCTCTTAGAGGGGAACACCAAAGTGACACTCAAGAATCTGGAAAACAGAAAGGGAGCCAAAAGTCTTAAAGGACTGAAGGGAATGGTCACCAACACCGTGGACCATGGGGACAGGCTCAGCCCTTAAACACAGTTTGCTAGTTGGGTCCCTGAACTTTAGGTGCCCAGCCACTAGGCGGCAGGAAAGAGTCAACTCTTCCAAACAGCTTTTCCAGAGGGTTGAACATAAAAGGATTTTGAGTGGAAATCACACTGTGTAGATCTCCGCTCCCTCTGATCCTATGATTGTAACAGACAGGTAGTATTTAAAACAAACGAATAAAAAAATTCTGTGTTTTGTAAAACAAAACAGCCAAGTTGCTTATTTTAAAAGAAATGAACCCTACTGGTCACTTTCCTCTCAGTGAAAATTTCCCTTTCAGTCTCTGATTTCATTTCCCCTCACAGCCCCCAGAGCCCACTCCTGAGGGACAGTGACTGCTATGCCAAGTCACAAGCTGGGATTAGAACATGGGAAGTCTGCCCCAGGGTCAGTGCTTCCACCACTGTGCTATGGAGTATCCTCAGTCACAGCCTACATTTCGATTCTATCAATGGAGGTCTAACCCATGTTACTGTGTAAGACAACAGTTATGCTTATGACACAGACAGCACAGCAGTTCTGGGCAGATGGAGGTGTGGCTGTCATGTACGTCTCTGTGTTCTGCTAGATCCTAAGCATGCAGAAGTGGATAGGAAGGGGCGGAGACAGGATTGAACAAGGTAAGAACACAATGAAGAAACACCTCTACCTCCGGGCCCACACCAGCTCCTGCTGTCAGCTTCCAGGACACTGGCCTAGCCAGCTGTGTTGATGGCAGGATGGGATTCTGAGAAAGAGACTGCACTGCCAGTGCCTTGCTTTTAGACATTGCAGTCCACTGCTCTCTCACCCCAACACCGATTTTTTCCTCACCTGTACCAAACAAGCCTTTTTTTCTTTCTTTCTTCCTTCATGAAATCATCTCCCTATAATCAAGTGTGGTAGTTCATGTCTACAGACACAGCACTTGGGAGAGTAAGGCAGAGGGATGGGCTATAGAATGAGACTCTGACTATAAATAAATAATGTATAGGAAAGCCAGAAAAGAAACATTTCCCACACCTTTATAAAGAAAGGAACAGGATTCTGAGATACCGCAGGTAAGAACATGTAGCAACAGATGCCCTTGTCTGAAGTGGGGGCTGTGCCAGCTCCTGAGTGGGCCAGAGACCTAAGTCAGGACACTTTGTGGACTTACCATGGACACACACAAGCATCCTGTTCGTCAGCTAAAGAATGGACACTCCTTTCTCTTTAATTGCCCACTAGCTGAGTGTCACCTGACTATACAACCAGTTTTAGAGAAATGTTAAATGAAAAATGGTAGATCCAGGAACAGAAGGTTCCCAGAAAAGAGGAAAGAGGGGTCAAGTAGAGTGGGCACGTCACAGCACTCAGGACACTCACGTACCTCGTCTGGCGCAAGGGGATGGGAAGAGACACACACAGGAAGGGGTCGAAGGTGTTGCTTTGTTTCAGGCAGTGAGGACAAGTCAAGGAAGACCTGTGAAGGCAAGAGCAGAGATGAACGTCATCACACTTACACCCGTGCGGTGGGACGGGAGTGGGAGAGAGAAGCCTTTTGTTCCAGCGGGCTGCCAGACACTTTCTCTTGAGAGCCCCGGTTCCCGGAACGCCCCCGCACACTGTTGCGCTCCGGCTCACGCTCAGGACCGCCGCTCCGCAGCCCGCTCCTGCTCGCGCCTGTCCGGCCGCCCGCGACCTCCAGGGCACAAGCAGTGCCCAACACCAGAGTACCCAGCAATAGATAAGGGGGCAGGCAGACAAAATGTGGTACATCCACACTGTGGAATACAACTCAGCCATAAAAAGGAAGAGTCCCAATATCTTGGAAATATTATGTCAAGTACCAAGAAATACCCAGACCTATTGTATCATTCTATTTATGTGAGATATCTAGAATAGGAAACACCAAAGTGGCACACTACAAATTGGTGGTTTCTGGAAGCTGGGGGCAAATGAAGTGGAATGTGACTACTCACTGGGTACCAGATTTTCTCTTTGGGTGATAAAAGTGTTCAGGAGCGGGGAAGAGATGATGGCTACCCAGCACTGTCATCGTACATGCCCCTGGGTTGGACATTGAAATGCATCGTCGAGCTTGGTGTGGGCACTGAGGTCGGAAGATCACCTGAGTCCAGAAGTTTGAGAACAGTATGGGCAACATAGGGAACTTTGTATAAAACAACAAAATAAATGGATAATTTTAAAAGTAAAACTGTTGATTCTCTGTTTCAGGACTCTTCCCTTTTGCAGGGAAGAGAGAGAGGACTTTATGCATGAGAATGTCTCAGCATACCAAGGATGGGGGAAGAAACCCATATGCCAATTTTCAAGCCAGAGGTCTCAGGGCCTCTTTATTCTCGATTCTCAGCTTTCCTGAGTCCCCAAAACACATGAATGGCTGTTTTAAAAAACAGCTGTTCTGGTTGGCCAGTGGTGGTGCACACACTTGGGAGGCAGAGGCAGGCAGATTTCTGAGTTCAAGGCCAGCCTGGTCTACAGAGTAAGTTCCAGGACAGCCAGGGCTACACAGATAAACCCTGTCTGGGAAAAAAACTAAAACACAAAAAAACAAAACAAAAAACAGCTGTTTTGTTTGTTTGTTTGTTTGTTTGTTTGTTTGTTTAACAGGGAGGATAGGAGGACATGCCACAGCATATGTCAAGTCAGAGGACAGTCTTTGGGAGCGGGTCTTTTCCTTCCACCATGTGGGTTCTGGCGCACAACTTAGGTCATCAGATTTGGCAACAAGGGCCTTTTACCTTCTGGGCCATCTCACTAGCCTAGTCCACAGAAGATTCGTAAAGGTCCAGACTTCCAGGTTTTCCTGCCATAGATTCTATATCAATGACGTAGGGGAAGGACTCTGGCATCTTAAGTTTAAAAACTTTCTGCAAGTCAGATATAATATTTCATAACTATAATTCTAGCACTCAAGAGGCTGAGGTAGAAGGATGAAAAGTTCCAGGCCACCGTAGACTATATAGCAAGATACTATCTCAAAGATAACAACAACAACAACAACAGCAGCAGCATAGCAAGAAGGTGAACCAATAGATTCATGTGAGGTGTTGTTGGCTCTTTGCCAGATCTTAGGGATACAAGTTACCTAATGGTTACAATAGGGATACAAGTTATCTAAGTGGATAGAAGTTATTAAAAAGTTGAAAGTACAATGTAGAAAACAGTCCCCAGTGGTCTTTGGTTTCCTTGCTTACTGTGCTGGTGGTAGCGTTGGAGCACAGGGCCTCAGGGATGTTCGGTCCACTGTCTACACTGCACCACACACCCATGCCTAGTCTTTTCTGTTTAACACTGACCTGGGAGAACCAGTGTAGTGTTTTGATAAAAAAAAAAAAAAAAAAAGCAGTGTGTGCCACAGCATTCACTGGCCATGGCATTTGTGGGGTACCCTCAGCTACTGCTTCTTCAGATCATCCCACCTCTCCTGATCACTGTGTACAGAGGTACACATCAAGTCACAGAATATATTCTTGTGTTTGGAAAACTTTCCAATCCCTATTTCACACTTTTCTTCTTTTAGCCTCCAAAAGGCAAAACCAGGTACGTTGTATTTGTTTTCTTTCATAGAGTTACATTGTATCAAACTGGTTCAAGAATATGACTTCAATTTCTTTTTTCTAAATTTACTTCTGTGTGTCTGTGCATGTGAACATATGCAGGTGCCAGAAGGGGATGTCGGATCCTTTGGAACAGGAGTCAAAGGGTTTTATGAGCTGCCTCATGTGGGTTCTGGGATCAAAACTCATCTTCTGCAAGAGCAGTAAGTGCTCATAACCTCTGAGCCACATTTTCTGCCCCAATATGACCTTATATTAATTAGCCTTGAACTTATTTCATATAGCAAAATGTGTGATTTGTGAAAAAAATAAAAATTTTCTAAGTAATTGGTTAAGTGTTTGTATGTATGTATGTATGTATGTATGTATGTATATGTACATATCTCATGGTAGTGAGAACTGAACCCACAGAACTGTATTGTATCAAACTTCATAGACTTGTATCATATCCAAATGATTGAAGAATATGACCTTGCCATCCCAAGCATGTACTTTCTCACTGAGCTATGACCCCATTCTTATTTCATAAAGAATAAAAATAACATATTGTTCCTAAGTTAAACTATAGAAAAGATGGGAAATACACCTGTTTCTCAGAAATTGGGAATGGTGACAGATTAAATATGACCAGTGGGCCCAAAAACGGACATGGAGGTCCTGGGTTTAGCCCTCAGTACCTCATAAGAAATGAGGAGATAGAAGAGAGAGAACCCATAATTACTCATCGCCCCCATTTCTTAGGAGACTGACAGCATCCATACTCCCCCATGGAAACAGACAAATTACGACCATGCAATACATCATCTTGGAGCTGCCCCCATCCATTCCACTGCAGAAAATCACCTCTAATACCTCAAAAGCCTTTGCTTACATAGGCTCCCTGACGACACTTTCTCTATATGACAGGCTCTCTGGCTCAAGGTGGTATTCTTAGCTGTCACTAGCACAAACACCTCTTATGCTCTTATAGATGAGAAATCTACTAGAAGGGCACTGTAGATCCTTAACATTTGACTGACTCAAATATCACTTCCTGAGAAGCCCAGCCCTGAAGACCCATACACCCCACACAAAGTCAGGAACATAGCATACACTTCAAAGCACCCTCAATTTTCCCAATAAACCACCCACCAATAATGGTTAGATAAAAAAGCTCTTCCTGTGCCCTTCCCAGTGAAGAAATTCTTCCACACCAGTCCCTGCCCACCACCCAGATCCACCTCATTGCCCTCTTGCCACTGACCCATCTTGGCCTGCTTCTTGTTTGTTTTCTGTTTGTTTTTGAGAGAGAGAGAGAGAGAGAGAGAGAGAGAGAGAGAGAGAGAGAGAGAGAGTCTTTTTCTGTAGCCCAGGCTGGCCTGTTTAACTATGTAGCCCTAGCTGGCTTCAAACTCAGCAGTCCCCATCTCAGCCTCCCAAGTGCTGGGATGACAGGCCTTGGCCATTGCAATTCATTCTTCCTATTCCTTAAACTTGCCCTCCCAGCCCTTGAATTCACACAAATCATGGCCCACTTAGGGGCCTTGTCTCTGCGGCTCCCCAACCTGGAATACCTATCCCTGTGATCTGACTGGTAGACTTCTTGTCACTCCCCTCTTTGCTCAAATGTCCATCTGAAAAGAGGGCTTCCTGATTTCCTCATCTAATGCCAAGTCTCCCACCTCTCAGGTCCCTAGGTCCTCTCTTATCAATCAAGATGTTTGGGACAGGGGTGAGAATGGGAGGATTGTTGTTTAAATGACACTTCCTACACATATCTGGGAAGCATTTAAGATTGGGGCTGGAAGCCGGGCAGTGGTGGCGCACACCTTCCCAGCACTTGGGAGGCAGAGGCAGGCAGATTTCTGAGTTCGAGGCCAGCCTGGTCTACAGAGTGAGTTCCAGGACAGCCAGGGCTACACAGAGAAACCCTGTCTCGAAAAACAAACAAACAAACAAACAAAAAAAAAAAAAGATTGGGGCTAGCAAGATGACTCAGTGGTTAAGAGTATTTTTACTCTTCCAGAGGACCCCAGTTCAATTCCCAGCCCTCACATGGTAGCTCACAACTATTCATACAAAGAGTTTAAGCTCATTTTGGAGCGATCTGTACCACGCAATACTCTCAGCAACCAAAGAGAAGATGCAGCACTCCACAGTTGTTCCAGCAGCTTCCTCATGATCCTCCCTCCCTGGAGCAGACTGTGGCTGTTTTCTGCTCCCACAGAAAGTAGCTCCAAAGCATTCAGACTGTACATGGGCCTCTTGAACAATCATCCTCAAAGATGGCAATCCCTACCTATTCATTCCCTCTGAAATTGCTGAAAATAATGCAACTTCTTAAACAGAGAAGCTTTAAGTCAACCCCTCCTGGTCAAACACAAAGAATAAAAGCCCCCCCCCCCCAGAAAGTATGAAAATATGTGGCTGGAAGCTGGGGGATTTTAAAGGACTAAATGTCACCTGCTTGAAGGGAAGTAATTAAGAAAAAAAACTCACTAAGAGCTCTGGGGAAACACAGCAGAGCAAAGGAAAAGGGACAGTCACCAAGACCAGAGTGCAGTTCTTCTGGAAATGGCTTAAGGCAACACCCAGAAGGACAGACACTGGAATCCATTTGAAGGAACAAGAAAGCCTGGCTCAGTGCAACCAAACTGACCACAGACAATCGCAAATAAACACAAGATAGGAAAGCAACACAGGAGAGTTAGCAAAGGCAGGGCTCAGACGTCAAAGAATCTGCTGAGGGCAGAGCTTCTTCTGTACTTACTGTGAGTCCCAGCAAGAAGGCCCAGTGCCTCACTTGTCTCCCAGACTCCTGTAAGGGTGACTACTAACAAGAGCTGGGGAGAAGTTCAGTTTGTAAACTGCTTGCTGTACAAGCAGGAGAAAATGAGTTTGACCCCAGCATGCACATAAAATGGCTAGACGTCATGCACTTGTTAACTCAACATTGAGAAGGCGGATTCCAGGGCTCACTGGCCAGCTAGCCAAGCCTAATTCGAAAGTCCCAGACTAATGACAGATACTATCTAAAATTAAAAAACAAAAACAAAAAAAAGAACCAAACCAATGAAAACTGAGGAACACCACCAAAGTTGACTTCTGCCTCTGCACACATACGTAGACATGTACAAGTACCCACAAACACACAGAGATTACTAATAAAATATACTTAAGCATGTTAAGTATGTATATAATTATATAAATAAATTTAATATTTACTATTAATGTCACTCAGTGGTAGGATAGTTGCCTAACATGTATGAGATCCAACTCCTTAAAAAGCAGTAATAATAAGTTATATAAACATAATATATACCATTTATATTATTCAACATATTTTATTACAAATGTATAATTACATATTACCTTATATATGATAGTACATATATTTCATATGGAGCATAAGCACAATTATTTTCACATAGAATATAAAATGTGTTATCAAATCATATGTAAATATTACACATTGACTCTAAAAACTGTCTCACAGGAGGTAAGAGTAGAATGGCAATTACCAGAGGCCAGGGAGAAGAGATGGCAGATAGGGAAATGTTGACCAATAGGACTAACCCACAGACAGCAAGAAGTCCTCTGTTCAACCACACAGGTGGAGTGATTAGAGATAACTGAATATTATGCAATAAGTAAAAAGCTACAAGAGAGGATTTTGTAAGATTTCACCATAAACTAATGATGAACATTTGAGGATACATATATATTTAACATGCCATTGTATATTATAGACACATGTCAAACCACCATACCATTCACGTATTCAATTTTGGTTTTGCCTCAGCCTTTAAAAAGTGGAATCTAAACCTGATGTTAGAAACATACGTATATGAACATCTCACATAAATGAAGTTTTTTGCATCCAAGGCTTCCCTTAAATCTTGACCTCTGTGCTCATTCCCACCTTGGAGATTACAGTCATCTTTGCTGAGTATGTTCCCATCCATCTGACCCTATTCAGCTACCAAAACTCATGAAAAGACACATGTGGCCAAACAGTCTGGGGCTAAGGTCTCATCTTTGAAGTCTTGTTGATGCAGGTATTTTCACCAAACACCATGATTCTTATAAACATCCATACTCTCATATTAGAAATACCCACAGTGCATGCTCCTGGAAGTCAAAGGCCATGTGATGATTTTTATATCCACCGTGCTAAGCTGAGCTCACAGGGACTAACTCCGCTGAGCTCTCTGTCCATGCCAAGCAGACAGGAAGAGTCTCCGCAGCTTCACTGCATCTGCAGGATGGTTTATCCTGGCCACAGCTTCACTGTGCATGCAGGATGGTTTATCCTGGCCACCACATTCCGCTCTATAGAACCATCCCTAGCCACTCCTTTAAAGGAGAGCAGAAGGCCATTCCAAGAAGCCAAGAAGAAGAAAAGAAATCCTCAAGGTTGGAAACAAGACAGTGAATAGCTGGGGCTGGGATAGGAAAGGGAAAGAAACTTGAGTGTTTTGTTGTGCAGGGTCAAGGGCAATGAGATACAGGTGGCCTTCGTGCACAACTCCTGGGGACCACACTCTAAGCACTCTGCCATCTTACCTGTATTGTGCTTGAAAGTGGCTCTGCACAAAACTGGGGCCTACGGAGGGAGGAGTTGCAGATGGCCGGAGGTCCTCTGAGATCTTACTCACTTCTGGGGGCAGCTGCAAAGAAACAGGGAAGAGATCCGATGACATCTTGTCTACATTATGTCACAGGTCTGTTTCCAGGCCACAGAGCCCACCTAATGCCCATATCATCCTTTCCTGTGCCCTGTGGAGCCACGATCTTCTAGACTGGTTCACCATTACTCAGTGTTCTTTCAATCCTCCTGTTTGGCCAAACCCCTGAGAAACGGTGTACATACGTGCAGAACGCAGAACTCAAAGGTGACCATAGAGAGAACTCACACACTCCTGGGGTTGCTCTTCACCTGTGTCCTGCTGGGGCCTCGGATACATCCACAACAGGTATCAATTGTCTACAGGAAAGTGTTGACAGGTGCTACCACCTCCAGAAGTTCTAGGCAGAAATCTTCTCCTACCCTCTTCTACATTCAGTGACTGCTGGAATGTGTGCCTTGTGGCCATGCCATATTGTCCTCTGGTTCAGCATCTTCAAAAATGCTTTCTGCTCTGTGTATACAATGTTTTGTCCTCTGTGGTCTCTAAACTCCCTCTGCCTGTTATAACAACACTCAATACTGTGCTCAGAGACCAACTGGATAATCCAAGTTAATTATCTTAATTTAACTTTCTTAATCACATCTGTAAACAGCACTTCCAAATCCCTGCATCCGAAATATATCTTTCTAGGTCATCTTTCACCCTTCTTCCCTCAAGGCTCTGACCTACTCCTGTGTCCACTGTCTTCCCTGAAAGGCTGCTACTCCCAGTATGAGCTGCTCTAGCTTCCCAGGTTTCCTAGTTATCCTTACTTTCCATCCACTCCATACCACACAGGGGACATAATTACTTATGAGGTCCTTGCTTAAAAAAAAACACTGAAGGTTGTCCAGGATGCCATTCCACTCATAGCAACTCATAATACAAAGTTGTTTAGTAAATATCTGAGAGCATATATAAGGCCAGACATACAATGTTCCTGACAGCATTGTATCTCAATTTCTCAATGTGTTTTATCCTTACTACACTAAGGAGTCATTTTAGACATGTTCTCCTTCTCACCCACCCATCCTTGGCGTTCTGGGGATTACACCCAGGGCCTCACACATACTAGGCAGGCGCTCTACCACTGAGCTACATCTCCAGCTAGGCATACTTTTGAAAGCATCCCCAATACAAAGCTATAATGTAACACTGTATGTTACATTATATACTGTGTGCTTTTTGAGTACCAATCTCCCAGACCAATTTGTAGCTTGGAGGCCTTGAACACGTTATCTTTGTTTCTGTGTCACCATGAGCAGAGTCTTTGTTCTCTTAAATTGTTTCTGCTGGGTGTTTTCTAACAGGGATGACACAAGTAGCTAGTATATTCAACTTTTTTTTTTTTTAGATTTTATTTATTTTATATATGATGAATACACTGTAGCTGTCTTCAGACACACCAGAAGAGGGCATCAGATTCCATTACAGATGGTTGTAAGCTACCATGTGGTTTCTGAGAACTGAACTTAGGACCTCTGGAAGAATAGTCTCTGAGCCATCTCTCTAGTCCCTATATTCGACTTTTTAAATCCGGTTAAATAGTTTACTTGCTCTGTAGCTTTTACCTTAGTCCATTTTCTGTTGCTATAAAAAAATTCCCAAACTGAGTAATTTACTCTTTCTTGATTTTTACTATTATTGTTTGGATTTTTCTTATTTATTTCTTTATTTGTTGAGGTACAGACTTAGGTAGTGGGATAGGAAGGTTGAGGCAGGGTCTTATGTAGCTCCAGTTGGCCTCAACCTCACTCTTGACCCAAGACCAACTTTAAGACCTCTGGTTTTCAAGCCTGCACCACTATGCTGGAGGAAACTAAGAATTTAGAATGAACCGAGAAAAGCTGACTCAGCTCACAGTTCTCTGGGCTAGAAAGATGGCACTAGCATCTTCTCAGCAGCTGGCAAGGACCTCTGAGCTCACAACAGAGAGAAGATCAACTCTTCCTCATCTTATGAAGCTACCAATCCCACTCTGGACACACTCTACTCTCGTGACTTCAAGTATCTCAATTATCTTCCAAAGCACTGCCCTATTTCCAAATGCAGTAACAGAGCCGAGGCTGGAGTTGAGTGGTAGGAAGTTGCTCTCCTAGCGTGTGTGAGGCTCCAGGATCCATTCCCAGCACTTTCAAATACCACTGACACACAAGTGTAAGGACTACATTTCCAGTGTATGAACAGTTCCCTAATTCTAATATGGGAGTCATGATGGCACCCAACTATAGAAGACATGTTTTAAGGAGTTAAAGAGTCATTCATAGATAGTGTCTTACTCCGGGTTACTATTGCTGTGGTAAAATACCATGACTAAAATCAACTTGAGGAGGAAATGGTTTATTTGTCTTACATATCCAAAGTCACAGTCCCCTGAGGGAAGCCAAAGTAGAAACTCAGACCACGCAGAAACCTGGAGGCAGGAGCTGATGTAGAGGCCACAGAGGAGTGCTACTTACTGGGTTTGCTCCTCATGGCTTGTTCAGCCAGCACCCAGGATCACTATTCCAGGAATGGTACCACCCATAATTGGCTGGGCCCTCTCCCATCAATCATTAATTAAGAAAACACCCTAAAAAGGAAAAAGAAAACACCCTATAGGCTTACTCAAAGCCTGATCTTATAGAGGCAACTTCTCAGTTGAGGTTCTCTATTCTCAGATGACTCCAGTTTGTGTAAAGATGACATAAAAGTAGCCATCACAGATAGATAGATAGATAGATAGATAGATAGATAGATAGATAGATAGATAGATAGGAAGGATAGACAGACAGATGGACAGACGGATGGACGAATTGACTTAGCCTGACACATACTGAGTACTGTACAGGTTGTAAGTATAAATTTTTTAAGCCAGAGCAGTAGCTCTGTGCTTACTGAGATTCTTTAACTCAACAGCCATTCCCAGGTAAAGAAGGACACCATTAAGTGTCCAAGTAACAAGGAAGTGACCTGCGTGGAAGCAATGAAGGTGGAAAGAGATGGGAGGGGGATTCAAGAGACCTGTGTAAGGGCTCTTAGTTCAACAGAACCAGGAAGAAGAAAGGAAGGAATAAACACAGTCGACTTCAGCAGTCAAAGGAGATGGGACTTGGGAAGGACAAGACAAGGTCAAGGGTGACTCAACAGCCAGACACAGCAGCAGAGTGGCAAGTGTTTGCAAGAGCCTGGAGGTGTGAACTTGTATCAGGTGTGGGCACTGGGTTGTTCTGCCCAGGATTCACCCTTTCTGAGCCCTTGAGTCTAGCCCCTGGGTGGGACTATGTAGGCTGTTGTCTTCTGAGTGGAGCACAGCTGTGATTACACACGTGAGACATTCCACAATCCCAGCTTGTTGATGCTCCCTCATAGAGAGTACCTAGGAAGGGTCATTTTACCCTCACCTGAGGTTCTGGCCACTCTCCCTGTGCCCTGTCAGCTGTCAGTAATCCTAACCCAGCTACAAGTGGTTTCAGGGGGTTCTAGAGTACAGAGAAGCTGGAAGGTACTGAAGAGTAGGAGACTCCATGTGTGTAGCCTTAGGAGGTCATCAACCACACTGGGATGGAACCTTTTAGTGATATAGCTGTTCTGAGGTCATGCCTCAAGCTCTAAGGAGCCCCTCACCCATACTCCTGTGAGTAAGCCCAATCAATTCACTGGTTCAGCAACCAAGATTTGGATGGAGTGGCCACTTTGGTCTGTCATTGGAGCTTTATCTGTGGTAAAGAGACCTTTGTTTATGTCTCCCCATGAAAATCTTAATTTCCTACCAAGAGACAGGTCCATGACCCAAACTGTGCCAAGATGTCCTGCCAGGATACAAGTCACAGACAGAGAGAGACCAAGCTTGAAAACACTGATCCTAGCCGTCACAATTTGGGAAGAAAGCTAGCAGCTCTTGCCACCGAGGCTCTTTTTTGCCCAGAGCTGTCTAACTCTAGACAAGTGTTCCGTTTAATCCTATGTGCTTCTCCCCATCTGGCCACCCACATTCCCCTCTAGGGCACTTCCAGTTGTATGCAGGAACTTACATGACACAGAGGGTTTCTATATAAAGATGACAAGCTGAGACTAGGCATGACTGTGGATGGGGTCACCAAGGGACGGAGTGTGGAAAGAAGATCCTAAGCAAAACATGGAAAGAGGCAGTAGGAAGTCCTTCACAAAACATGGACTATGAGGTCAGAGGAACATGAGTCCAGTCTGCTAGGCAACAGAACCTTGTTACCTCTCAAAGCTTCACTGTATGCTTACACAGCATCCCCTCGGCATGGAACTATGGTGAAAATCAGGAGGTGAGATACACACCAGACACAGAGGTTCACATCTGTAAGCACAGCACTTGGGAGGCCGAACCTGGAAGATCTCTGGTTGAAAGAAACCTTGGGCTACAGGTTGAGTTTTGAGTCCAGCCTAGGCTACAGTGTGAGTTTGAGGCCAGGATAAGTGACTGAAGGAAACGCTGTCTCAGAAAGGAAGGAGGAAGGGTGGGAGAAAAGAAGGACTCTCACCTGGCACACAGTAGGTACTTAATACACATTGGCTGCTGCCTCTCCCTAGACTCATTCCCACCTTTATTCTGCAAAAGTAGCAATCTCTGGAAAACTATCAAAAAGATTGTTTACGTGTTGGTGTTCAGAGGGCAGTGAAAATACAGTCTTTGCAGGATGGACGCATTTGAGAATCATTAAAGTAATGGAAAAGAGAGCGGCCCTTTCGTCTTCTATTCCAGCTACAAATAAATCTCCCTGTATGGCTTTCCTATGTCCTCAGTACAGAAATAACTTCAAAGGGAAAGAAATCACTCCAGGTACACAGAAGGCAGGAGCTTTCTTTGTTGAAAGGGAAATGAAGTTTTCCTGCTAAACAACCACAAGGCTCGGTAACACACAGCCCAGCCTCAAGGCAACCCAGAATCAACTTCAGGAGGAGAGAAAGAGACATTGCTGATGCTGCGGGGTCAGAGTGAGGCTGAGTAGACCTTGCCTAGGGGGATGCTCTGCTCCTACCACACCTGTTCCAAGGAAAGACAGAAAGTTTAGGTATGGTGAGGAAAGGGAGTGAGAGGAGAGGAATCTGGAATCAGGCTGAGTGGCCCAGTGAGGGATGATTTTGGTTGCTGCTTGGTAGGAAGCTACCAAGAGAAAGGCAAGCTAGAGAAGATATCACCTTGCTCCCTTCCTGAAGAAACCTGGCTTCAGAGTAGAGAATGCCATAGAGGACAATATTGGAAACTGAGGACTGGGGGTGTCACTCAAGAGATAAACACCTGCCCAGCAAGCACAAGTGCCTGGGGTCCAGGCCCAGCCTGAAAGAAAGGGGAGAAAGGAGAGAAGGAAAGGAGAAGGGAGGAAGGAAAGGAAACAAGGAAAGAAGGAAGGAAAGAAGGAAGGAAGGGAGGAAGGAAGGAAGGAAGGAAGGAAGGAAGTAAGTTAGTTAGTTAATGAAAGACTTTCAATCATGGCCACTTTTCCTGTATCTTGAAGTTATGAAGAATGATTGGCATGCCCTCATGACTTAAACTCAAATGTCTCAAAGACAGTTTGAAGGAGACACACACTCATAGGGGACAAAGATTTTAGAGTGAAGCTTCTCAACTAGAGGGTGATTTCAGTCCCTACCTCAGGGAACATTTGCCAATGTTTCACAAAGGTTTAGTGCAAGTCCGGACTGTCCCTGACACCTAGCAAGAAAGACAGTGCTAATGCTATGACACACAAGTCAGCCAGGCACAGAAAAAAATTATCCAGGCCCAGATGCCAAAAGTGCTGAGGTTCAGAATCCTGGTATAGAGAGCGGCATTTCCTCGTTTGGGTACGGGCTCTCCCATTTACTAGCTGTGTAACTTGGACACACCTAGCTTACTCTCTCTGTGACCTTAAGCCTAATGATTTTCCTGCTACCAAAGAAATAAGAGGGAGAAACTGAAAGGCAGTTTGAAAGGCTGCTGCTGAAGTCTGGGTCTGGACTATCCCTCAAAGGCCCATGTGTTATGGCGTGGTCCCAAGCTTTCATTATTAGAGCTGGTAGAATCTTTAAGCTGAGGCGGGGCCTAGTGGGAAGGAAGTCTTAGGTCACTGTGGGCATGCCCTTGAAGGGAATTGTAGGAATCCAGCTCCTTCACAGCCACTATGAGATAAAGAGCTTGTCCCTCCATGCACTTCCTCCATGAGGTACTTCCTGCCACAGCCCTAATGCACTAGCAACACCTGACCACAGACTGAAACCTGCAATAGCCACACTACTCCTATCCTCTTTGTAAGCTGGTTACGGTAACAGAAAACTGACATCTATCCCACAGTTATCTATCCCATCTACTTCCCAGGTAGGAATAACTTCCGGTATATAAGAAGGAAAACAGGATGAGTCCCTGTTTATACAGCAGCAGAGGGTAGAGATACCTGTCCCTACCTTTCCTCTAGCAGGAAACTGAGAAGACACAAGAAGCTTCCAAGAAAGGAGGTTCGGCACACTGGATCTGAGATCCATGAACCCAGACTCGATCCTATTTACGCCAGTTAAAAGATGATGACCCTGAAGAAGAATGATGGTACACACCCATAATCCCAGAACTTGAAGGGCAGAAACAAGAGGATCAAGTGTTCAAGGTCAACTACACAGTGAATTCAAGTTTAGTCTAAACTACAAAGGACTCTATGAAAGAGTGAAGGACCCTGGGAAACCCCTAACCTGTGTTTCCACTAACTACAGAATATGAGTTATCACTATAAATATTAAAATAAGACAACATTTTATACGTTTACTGACTGTCTACTATATACCAGGTAATAATGAGTCATGAAAATTGTCAAAGTAGATATACAATACAGAACATCTGGTAAATGACATCATCTGTGTGCGCACGTGTGTGCGCGCGTGCGTGTGAACATACACGCATTTCACTTTTCAAAATGTGTTCTTTGAATTTACAAAAGGCATAGAAGTAGATAACATGTGTCACCCAGTGATGTAATCTTTGGGCTGACAATTAATTTTGACTCTGTAAAAGCTTTCCTTAATCCGTGTTCTCCCCACAGGCTTGTGACTCGGGGATGTCCAATTAGGCTACTATATTCTTCTGACCACATGCCTAGGAATGAGCACGCCAACTGTGCTAGGACCATCAGGGTTTGCTCTGGTGGGGCAGCCTCTGGAGACTCTATGAGCAATGCAGAGGCCCTCTTGCCACCATGGGGGCAGAGCCAGAAAGAGAATGAAGAGACGGAGTCAAAGATATGGTGACATCACCTGGGATCTTGGATTCAGTCCCATCCAAAGCTGCTTCAACCAGATTTGCAGGTTATAAAACAACAACAAATGCTCTTTCCTTAAGCCAGAGGAAGTTAAATTTCTATCACATAAAAATACAAAGATATGAATAAGATTCATAAAAAATGACTACAAATAAAAGTAAAATCACCCATTCCCTCCCAATCCAGAGGAAGCACCACCACATTGGTGTGTGGTACCCTAGGATTTTTGTTTTTATGACAGGGTCTCATTGTGTACCCCGATCAGCCTAAAACTCAATATGTAGACCAGGTTGGCCTTCAACTCACAGAGATCCACCTGGTTCTGGGATTAAAGATGTACCTCACCATACCTGGCTTCCACCTGGAATTTTGTTGGGGTGACCACTGGTTTTGTTCACTGGTGTCCTCCAGTCATTTGGAGTGATTGCTTTTAAAACAAGGAAACAGGCTTTCAAGCCAGAGTCTCTTAGGCTAGAATTCTGACTAATTCCTTCCCCTTTATTTAAGATTAACTTTAGTTATGCCCCTGTTTCTCTCTTTCTCTCTCTCTCTCTCTCTCTCTCTCTCTCTCTCTCTCTCTCTCTCTCTCTCTCTCTTTCTGTGTGTGTGTGTGTGTGTGTGCAGGTGGCCAGAGGCCGGAAGAAGGAGACAGAAGATCCCTTGGGGCTGGATTTACAGGCATTTATGAGTTGCCTGTGTGAGTACAGGGAACCAAAGTCTTGTCTGCTGGTAGAGCAGTATTATCTCTTAACCACTGACACAAGTCTCTGGCCCCATGAGTGGCCCCTCTTTAACTGTTTGTGCTGGGATTACAGACATGTGTCATCCAGTCTGGATTCCCAATGTGTTTGTTGTTTTGTGGTTACTGGGCTCATGAGAGGGATGGGAATCAGGTGTCTGGATAGAAAACAGAAGGGCTGAGAGTGTAGCTCCAAGGTAGGCCACTTGCCTATCAGGCCTGGGGGGAAGGTTCAAGTCTCAGTACTCTGAGGAAGGGAGAGAAACAAGAAGCTGATGAAGCAGACCTGAAAACTAGGCCTGAATTGCCTGTGAGATCCATCAAAAAATGTGTTACTTACTGGCTAATTACCAAGGTGTGAGAGATGTGCACTATTTAAGGATCGGGTCACTATAATTTGACTCACTCATAATGTAGCTTCATTCACTTTTCAGTGAGCAATAAAGAGACCATAGTGAAGCAAGGCCATTATTGGTCTTTATTTAGGAAAGCTATAACGAACATAGCTGATGTGCCAATCAACCATGACTTTTACAAAGCATTGTAGTGTGGCTGGGTGTGGTGACAGACAACTGTTATTCTAGCACTTAGGGAAGCTAAGACAGGGGGGCGGTGAGCTTGACTTTAATAAACCAGCTTGGACTATATGACCAAGGTATAATCCCCAACACTGCAGAGACAGAGTGATCTGGGAGGATCTGGGAGGATTGGCACAAGTTCCACCCTGAGCTACATAGTAAGACTCCATCTAAACAAAACAAAACCAAGCCAACAACAACAGAAGCAAACCCACAGTATTACAATGCTTTCTTTGTCCCAAAGGTCTGGGAGGGGGGTTCATCAAAATCAGAAATTACCCACCCATGTCTTAAGAAAAACAGAAACCGTTGCTCTGTGAGATACACTAACCGAGAAAGCAATAGTAGACTTGGTTGAATTTGGACTGTCTAAAAATAACAAAGAAAGATTGTCGTGGCTCCAGGCACCCAGACAAATATATAGAAAAAGGTGGAAAAAATTTTAGGGAAAATATTTTTGGGGGGTGGGGGAGAGGTATGGCTCAATTTGAAAAGTGCCAGCCACGCAAGCATAAGGAGGTGAATTCAAGTTCCCAAGTAGGAGCCAGGCTTGGCAGTGCGCACCTGCAGTCTCCACACAAGGGAAGGAAAGACCAGAGCATCTCTAGGGCTTGTTGCCCAGCCAGTTTAGCCAAGTCAGCAAGCTCCCGGAATACCAAAAAAGCCTGTCTTAAAAAAAGAAGAAAAAAAGGAAAAAAAAAAAACAAAAACAGATCTAGGCAGACACCTGACATTGATCTCTGACATACACATTTGCACCTGCACAGATACATCCAAACAAAAAGGACTGTTTTAAAAAAATATATGAGCCATAATATAATCCTATTCACAGTTATCACTGGGATCAGGGAAGAAAAGAAATACTGCAATAGGACGGAATGGCTGTCCGAAAGCAGCAAGAGCCAGAAGAAGGGAGCAAGCCCAGCAGGTGTACACAGTGGCTGGGACACACAGGGATCTAAGGAGCTGAGTAAATATCCAAGGGAAAAGGACACGCACATGCAGATTAGAGAGTGACTAACCTGCTCAGATACCAGCCCGTGAGCTGAGCCCTCCAAGTCTTCATGGACACGATCCAGAAGCCAGAGGAGGAATTCCAGGGCATCGTGTTGGGAATTGCCTTGGAACTGGGAGCCATACTTAGAAACAGCATTCTGAAAGGAAACAAAGACAAAAGTCACCTTGGGCCTTGACACAAACAAGTGAAGATCTATAAGCATCACACTCCCAAATGGTCATCATTCAGCCTTGACCTGAGATGACAGCATGGGTAGGAATAGGTTTCCTTGTCCCAAGCTAGGGGTAGTTGGGTCCTCTGAATAGAAGGTACTCCAGACCCTGAAAATCCATGAGACTGTCTCTGCAGAACAGTGTGTCTGTATCTGTGTGTGACTATGTCCATCCATAAGTGTGTCAGTGTATTTGTGTGAGTGTGTTTGTGTGTGTGTGTCTATGTGTGACTATATCCATCCATGTATCCGTGTGTGTGTATGTGTGTGTTGTGTGTGTGTGTGTGTTGTGTGTGTGTGTGTGTGGTGTGTGTGTGTGTGTGTGTGTTGGAGATCTAAACTCAGGTCTTTATAATCACAAGGCAAGCACTTTACTAAGCTATCTCTCAGCCTCTTTGCTAAACACCTTCTAGTGTCCACCACCTGTTCTCCCTGAAGATCTTGTCCTTTGGTCACTGGGATCCCATGTACCACTGACCTTCCCTCCATCACTCTCCTTCCACACTCTCTCTCAAGTCACCTCACAGGACAACACCCTTCCTACGCCACTCTCCTCCTTGGGTGGCTGCACTGATTCTCAAGGCTTCCTCTCTATGGTAATGACCACACTGAGAACAAGATTGACTTCCTAAAGTACAATGTGTATAGCTCCTTCATCAAAATGCTGGCTGTGGGTCTTCATTCTGATTACTCTCTTTAGGGTCTTCCCCTAAGTATCTGTGTAGCCAGCCTCTCAATTCCAATCTCTAAAACTCCACCCTTTGTCTTAGCATTGATGTCATCTGTCAGAGACTCCTTTCCAGGAGCAGCCTAGGATTGAATTTGCACCACCACCCCCACATGCCTCTGCTTCTCCCCTACCTCAAATTATCAACCTACACTACTGAGTTCTAACTACTTCTGCTCACATAGATGAAACTAGTCTATATCTAAGTAGGTACCACACCCCTTCCTCCCTGGCCCTCTGGGTAATAATAAATCAGATCAATCTTCCTGCAACCCAGCTAAGGTAACAAACCCTTCCTTCTCCTACTATTCAGAACAAAATAGTTCAAATTCTTTCATTGCTCATGTCCCAAACTCACATCTTCTCTACTCTCTGTCTCTCTATCTCTCTACCCCCCCTCCTCTCTCCCCCTCCTTCCTCACCCCCACCAAGATCTATAGCCCTGTAGCCCAGACCTCAAACTCACATAGTCAAGGAAGACCTTGAACTTCCCACCCTCCTGTCTCCCCTACCTCCCTAACACCAGGATTATACCGTCCTGTCTACCTCCTCCCTGTTTCAAACATCCAGGTAAAAAAAGCCACTCTGGTACCCCAAACATACTTTCTGGCTTCTATGGACTATGCCAGCACTTTTGTCTAGCCTCTCGTACGAGTTCTGTCCCCTTCTAGTTCATTGTGAATTCTCTTCCTCTTAGCCTGGCTATCTTACAATCAAAGCCTCACAAAGAATTTGACAACTCCAAGAAGACAGATAAGATGGGATCTTTAGCAAAACTGTGTAGGGCTAGGGACCTGACTCAGCAGGTAAATGTTCTCGCTGCCAAGCTCAACAACCTGAATGAACATTCAATCCCCAGGACTCGTGGTGGATGAAGAGAACCTCAAGTTGTCCTTTAATCCCATACAAGTGCTGTGGGAGGCTGGCACTCACATGCATGTGTGTGCATCCCCCTCACAGAATTAATCCACATACATGTGTGTGCACACAGCCCCATGCATGGGTGTACATCCCCTCCCCAAGAATTAATGGCAGATAAAAATCAAATTTAAAAAATTAAAGTCTCTCTGAATATATACAGCAATTCCACTTTAGAAAAAGCAACTCAAGGAGAGATACAAGCAAGGATTTTTCTACGGACCCAAATTATCAGGAAGAAAGCTGGCTGTGGTTCGTCACACCTGTACCCAGTACCCTGAAGGCTGAGGCAAAAGGATCTTAAGTTTCAGGCTAGCCTAGACTATACAGCAAGATCTTTTTCTCAAAAAAAAAAAAAACAAGGGTTAGCTCAATGTGGAGAGTTTGCCTAGTCTGTGTAAGCTTAAGGCTGGATCCCAGCACCCTAAGGCTGTACTGGAGCTAAAATACTCAAAGATGAACTGTGACATTTGGGACGGCTATCCACAGCACAACATAGCTAGGCCCTCTGTGTGAATGTGTGTGTCTGTGTGTGTGCACACACAGCGCAAAAGAGTATGTGACTGTGTATGTGTGAGAGAGAGAATGTGTGTGAGAATATGTGGGTATCTGAGTGAGGAACAGAGTATGTGTATGTGTGAGTTTATGTGTGTGAGTTTTTATGTGAGAGAGAGTATGGGTGTGTGAGAAACTGAGTGTGTGTATATATGAGTGTGTGTGTGAGAGTTATGTGTGTGTGTATAAGTGAGTTCATGTGTGTGTGTTGAGTGTGTGAATGTGTGTGTGTGTGAGTGTATGTGTCTTCTCTCCCAAACACTGGTGATTTTAAACATATTTCTTCTAGTTATTTAATAGTTCTAGTCATATTTTTTCTGCCCAATAGTTTTTACCGTTTCCACTTCTCCTCCTACTGTTTTATCCACAACTATCAAAACAAACATGGAGAAACTGGGGCTAGAGCTCAGCAGTAAAGCACTCCCTAGTGTGGGAGAGGTTCTGCCTTCAATCCTTAGTGCCTCCAAAAGGAAAACAAAAAGTGAATCTTTGTTTCAAGAAAGGGACACCTCTACAGGAACATCAGAAGTTCAAGGTCATAGTCCACTTAGTGAGATGGAGACCAGCCTGGGATATTTGAGACCTCTCTCCAACAAATCAATAAAAAAAATATAAAACTTAAAAAGTTAAAATAAATAAAAGGAAATGCCTGTAGTACGTCGTTGTCTATCTAAATTTGATTTTAGGCACATAAGCTAAGAGAAATTCCAGATGGCTAAAACCCTGATTATAACCATAGAGAAGCTAGAAGACCATAAAATAGAATACATATCAAAAAGTATGATATATCTGGGTGTGGTGGTGCATGCCTGCCATCCCAGCAAGAAGGAGACTGAGACAGGAAGACCCTGAGTCCAGACCAGCCAGGGCTGCACAGTAAGACTTTCACTTGATATTTGAAAAAAGATATGACATGAACAAATCTAAAGCTTCTAGCATTGGGGTAGGAAAAAAGAAACAATTTGTATAAAATATCTGTAGAGACTAGGACAGCACAAGCAAGCAAACAAAACCTTAAGAACGAAGCAGACTGGTTACACAAACAATGGAGGAGATAGTTCTAAGAATAGACTAGACAAGAAACACCGGAAGCACTTCTACCTCACTCCTAATGGAAAAGGTTTTTCCAACAAGTTAGTACACCAGAGGCGGCCTTTACAAAGCCTGGCCTCCACAATAAGGAGGTCTTAAGGCAGCGATGCTCAACCTTCCTGATGCTCCGACCCCTTAATCCAGTTCTTCATGGTGTGGTGACCCCAACCATAAAATTATTTTTGTTGCTACTTAGTAACTGTAATTTGGATATTTTTACCAATCTTGATATAAATATCTGATTTTTCCCAGGGTCTTAGGCCACCCCTGTAAAAGGGTCATTTGCTATCCAACCCTGCAAGGGGTCTTGACCCACAGACGGAGAACCACTGTCCTAGAGACTTGGGCTGCAAATAGAATTGATCTTAATTGTTCTCATCTCTAAAAAGGGTTAAGTGTATGATATTGGTAGCTATGTAAATATTTGGAATTAATCATCTTACCCTGTATACATACCCCAAAGCATCATATTACATACTATGACACAGAGACTTTCCTTGTCAACTGTAAACTTCATAAAGCTGGGGCAGGTAGGCTAGTGAGACAATACCCAGTCTCCTCTAGGAGATTTCTTAAATGTATATCTGAAACCTGGCAATATCATTTAGAAAGAAGTCGATGATGTAGATTGTAAATAAAAATAATTATAATTTCGGGGTATGGTGGTGCCTCCCAGCATTAGGAAGGTAGGGGCAGGCAGATCTCTGTGAGTTGGAGGCCAGCCTGGTCTACATAGAGCTAGCTCCAGGATAGCCAGGACTATACAGAGAAACTCTGTCTCAAAACAAAACAAAATAATGATAATAATAATAATATAACAACCATATCACCCAATGAAGTTGATTTAGAAGGAAAATAAGGGCTAGGTCTAAAGACACTCACATTTAATCCCAGGACTCAAGAGGCAAAGGCAGACCAGTTCTTTTGAGTTCTAGGCCAGCCAGGGTACATAGTGAGCCTGTCTCAAAAACTAAAGAAAAAGAAAAGGAAGGGTAAACATGTAAGACGGGGAGATAACTGTCTAGGTACATGCACTTAATAAACCTCATTAAATCCAACCCTTGAGATGAATGCACTTCACTATAGAACTTACACCTCAAAAAGCTTGTTTTAAAAGGAAAACTAGAAAGTTCTTAAAATATTCATTCTTTTTATTTTGAAAAGTGGTCCCACTCACACAACTGGATATTTGGAAATCATCAGAGCTGAGAACAATGATTTAAATACGTGGAAATTGGGGTTGGAGAGGGCTCACGTGGTTTAGAGCACTGACTCTTTTAAAGGGTTCAGGTTTGATTCCCAGAACCCACACGGTGGTTCACAGGCATCCCTACCCTCCATTTTCAGGGATCCAAGGCCCTCTTGGGTGCCATGTGGTGCACAGACATATATGCAGGCAAAGCACCCATTTATACAAAAGGAAAGAAATAGAAATTTTAAATAAAGTAAGTGAAAAAAAAACAAAAACCAAATACTGTTACAGTGCGCTAACTGGAAAACTCCATGGTGTATCATTCTTTCCACAAAGAACTGGTCCATTTGATGATACAGTCAAACATTAAAAGTCAATTTCTGTGCATTATTCTAATGCCAAGAAGCCTTGTAATAATACTTACATGAGCCGGGCAGTGGTGGCACACACCTTTAATCCCAGCACTTGGGAGGCAGAGGCAGGTGGATTTCTGAGTTCGAGAGTTCGAGGCTAGCCTGGTCTACAGAGTGAGTTCCAGGACAGCCAGGGCTACACAGAGAAACCTTGTCTCGAAAAAAAACAAAAACAAAAAACAAAAAAAAAGAAACAATACTTACATGATTAAAAAGAAAGAAGAATATAACAGGATGTAAAGGGGTGTGCACTGTTAACCATCGCCCTTGGGTGCAGAGGCAGGCAGATATGAGTTCAAGGTCAGTCTGGTCTACATAGCAAGTCTAGCTAGGTTTTACAGCCCTAATTCAAAAACAAACAAACAGAACCCAGAACTAGAATTTCTAATTGTTTACAACCAGTAAGTTTACAATGGTTTATCTCTATGAGTTACAGATTTTTCTTATACTTTTTAATTTTTTTCAATAAACATATTTACCTATATCATTAGAAAAACAAAAATTGTGGATGAGAGGATTGTAAAAGTGTATTTAATCGGCCGAGCGGTGGTGGCACAGGCCTTTGTGCTTGGGAGGCAGAGACAGGTGGATCTCTGGGAGTTTGAGGTGAGCTGGTCGACAGAGCTCCAGGACAGCCAGGGCTACACAGAGAAACCTGTCTTGAACCCCTCCCCACCAAAAATAAAAGTGTATTTAATCCATTTTCTACTAAAATGAAAATTGGTCCTACTATGTGTGGGAAACTGGTGAGTCTGGGCTCTAGGAGGGAGAACATTGTAAACCCATCCTATTTGTGGGGATGGGGTCAAGCTCCACCCTGCTGGACCCTTCTCGGGCCGGAAGTTAGCTACTTGTCTTAAAAGGCAATGGCCTTAACAAGGTCAAATCTCTAATTATCCAGTCTCCTCCCAGCTCCATGAGCTCTCATCAATGAATTTGGCAAAAGGATTCTTGGCCTGAGTTCTAACCCCTGCTCCATCCCTCCTCTTGGCTGGCATTTTCCCTTCCCAGACCTAGAGCTGATACATCCCATCTCCCACGTCCTTAGTAGACACTTCATCTTTCACAACCCGATTCACAGTATAGGGTCCTCAACAGGGATAGCCGCACTGCTCCTCCAAACAAGTCATAACCTCTTGCCAGAACTGTCACAGCTCCTTGTGTGGTCCCTTTCCATCTTGATGACAGTTCTGAGGGCCTGCATGACTACTATGTTGCCGTTTCTCCTCTAGACAGTGAACCCCTGGGGAGCAGTCCTGGGATGTGGATTCAGAGTTGTCACTCAGTCCCAAGATCTGGCTTTTACCCATCACTCATCACAGTCATTGTTCCCAACAGAATGTCTCCACATTCTTGATAAACATGCGCCGACTGGGTGAAGGTTTCAATATCCGTAAAAGAAAGCAGCGCCCACCTAAATTGCCATCCCTAATATTTCAAATCCAGGATTCTAAAATTCATTCCACCCTCCAAGTTTGGTCACCTAAAAGTCCCAGGGAAACCCCAGATGACATCTCCCTCATTAACAACTTGGTTATCTTTCAATTCCCCAAGGCACTGGGAGCTCCCAAGCCCTGGGGATTCAGACAGCAAAAGAGAGGAAATCCTAGTGAGTCACTGGCAGTGACTGCGAATGTCAGTTTCTTCCAAGCTACTCGCCACTCTCCACTACTCGCCGCTGTAGTAACTGGGTGGGAATACAACTAGTATTACCCAAAGATCGCCTCCCTTCCTCCTCTCTGTCTCTCTGCAGGAAGGAAGTGTAACTCTAGAATAAACATCAGGCGTGTTCTCTGTGCTCTCTATGTAACCCACTTAACACAACTACTCTATAATCAAGTAACTGTCACAGACTTCGATTTTACAGATGAGAAAAGATTAATCTGCAGAAAAATCCTAGAGCCCCAGAGACCTGTCCTTTCTGTGTGTACACCAACCAAGTGTGTTCTTTTCTTCAGACAGAATCTATCACTGAATCCAGAAGCTCACAAATCCGCTAGATTGTTTATACAGCAAACCCAAGGGATCCATCTGCCTCCATCTCCCCAGGGCTGAAACTGTATATAAGCCTATACTGGGATTCCAGGTCCACAGTGAAGACACAGGACTGCAGTGGGACACCTGGCTTTTTTCCTTTTTGTCTGGGTTCTGGAGACAGAACTCATCACCTCAAGGCTTGCATGACAAGTGCTTTGCCTAGCACTGAGTCACGGCCTGCAAGACCTTGCTCTTGACCACTATATTACACTGGCTATCATATTTGAAAAGCAAATGTGGCCCAAAAGTGATAACAACGACATCTGTGTGACTACTGTGCTCCTTCAGGAACAGAGGTCGGAGAGGAAGGCAGTGGTTAGCATCCTTTTGGGTAACAGGACAAAGGCTGCTTTCTCAGGCTGAAACTTAAGAACCATGTATGTCTGTGGAATGAACACCCGACAGTTGAATTCACCCTCAACTCAACAACAATCACTAGTCCATGGGGTGCTTCAGCTCTCTGCCCAGAGCTGCGGTTTTGCAGCAGGATGCAAGCAACACTTTCATCCGACTGGGACTCCACATTTGTACTTTAACACCATCTCAGGACCCGGCAGCATCTCCAGCAAGAGGACTGTAATCTTGCAGATAACAAATGCCATCTCCTGCTCACATACTGTCAAGACTTAATATGAACTAAATTAAAGGACACCATCTCTACTATGGCTCTCTTATCGACTCCCTCTCCCTACTTTTGAGAGTACCTGACCCATGCACGGTTTCTCAGCACCCACTAGGTTTAAATAATCCAAAGCCACTGCGTCCAAGGTCGTACATGATCTGAAGACCTTCATCCGCCTTCAATACAAATCACCTTCAGGCCTATGCCCTTTCTACTTACTGATCACTATACCTGGATTATTCCTAGATCTGGCCTGGTAGCGTCCTTTTCAACACGCTTGTATCTCCTCCTTCCCCAAGCTTGGCCTTCAAGGACCGACTTCCCACTCTGCATCCTTCCACATCCGAAGCTCTAACTCATCCCGGCCGGCAAACCCGCACTCCTTCAACAACTGCTTTTAACCACAAAACTGCTCGACACACTTAAGGCTGCCGACTCTCTCCACTCCAGCTCAAAATACCAGGGAGAAACTAATTTCTAAAGAAAACATTTGCAAGTGATAATGTAACACGTCACCTCAAAACAAAGGCGGTAATCTAAGGCTGGGCTAGCTAAGTTGTGTCTACTGAAGACCTTTCCCCAACTCCACAAGAACCCAGATTTGGCTGATGGTTCACACGCCTTTTCAAGAACCGAAACCAGAAGGGTCGGAGGAGGCTGCGGGCGGTTGGCGCTGCCTACCTTGAACTCTGCAGAAAGTTGGGGCGTGTATTCGCGCGTCCAGAGCGCGCGCACCAGCGCCGCCAGCTGCTCGGTGACCTCTGCGCGGCCGGGCACCGCCCGGTAGCGCCCCAGCGCTAGGAACTCGGCCAGCAGGTCGGTGTTGCTGAGACACTGCACCACCGCGTTCATGAAACAGGTGTTGCCATGGTTCTTCAAGCCCTGAGCGCCGGGCGGACGCGCCCCGTCACCCGAAGATATCTGGGGTTGAGATCCGGGAGGACGATCTGGCCCTGGGCTCCCAGCAACGGCTGGTGCCGGGCCCGGGGCACAGGCAAAGCCCCCTTCTCCATCGCCATCGTAGGGGCTGGGCTGGGCCGGGGGCCGGGGCGGCGAGTCCCCCGAGCGGGAGCGGCTGCCCAGAGCTAGCAGGAAGCGGTTGAGCAGGCGGCGCAGGGAACGGCGGCGGCGGGGCCGGGGCGCGGGCGGCCCCTCTCCCAGTGCGTCCCCCGCGCCCGGATCCATGCTGACCACGCAGTGTGGTCCGGGAGCGCAGCCCTTGGGCCCGAGGTGGACCGGCAGCTTCCCGGTCCCCACCGCCTCCCGGAGGCGCCGGGCGCCGGCTACCTGAGAGCCAGGTGTGCAGACACCGGGAGAGGGCGGAGCCAAGGGCGGGGCCGCCACGCCCCGCCCCGCGCGGGAATCCGGCCCTAGGGCAGCTCTCGCCGCCCGGCTCCCGCCCCCGCGGCTCGGGCTGGGAATGCACTTCCCCGGAGGCCGCCTAGTGGGCTTCCCCGCCCTTCCTTCCCGCCTCGGAACAAGCTTTCACCACTGCTCGCCTTCCCCGCCCATCCCTAAATTGCGGAGATAACCTGGGAATGGAACCTTCAGAAGCACCCGGGGAAGCAAAACCCTGGCTCTGGCTAAGTTTCTAGTCGGGGAAGCCAGGTGAAGACTAAGAAAAGTGACCGGCGAGCGATGCCCCTGTTCATACTCAGGTGTCCTCAGAAGTGCGCGCTGGCAGCTGTGCAGGTGGGGAGCCCAGGCTCAGGTGTGTGCGGTTAGGTGGCGTCACCTCCTTGCAGCCTTTGCCTACACTGGTCACCCCAGGACCTGAACTGGGAGTGGGAGTGCTAGTGGTTTGGGAGTTTGTTTTCTTTTCCTTGCTGTTTTTTTTTTAATAACAATAGGTTACAGTCATTTTCCAAAAAGTTGGGAGATTTGATTGTCCTGGTTTTCATTGGTGAAGTTGCTCGGAGAGGTTGAGGCTACGAAAGGAGAGGAACCGGAATTCGACCCTCCCTGGGTGCACTGCAGAGTTCAGGCCCTTTACAACCCTAGTATTTGCTCGGCAGGAAGTTTTCCGGTTCTCAGGCGCGCCCCCTACTCGGTTGCGGCTTCTCTCCTCCACGCAAAATCCTGGCTGTATCCTTACCCAATCAGAACTAGTTTGGCCTTGCCCCGCCCTTGATTCCCCGGGTAACCCTGGAGGCCTCTGCTCCTTTTATGCCTTAACTGTCAGGTTTATAATTAATCAGGCAAGGTCTTGCAAAATGAATTTCTCATCGGTTTGTTCTTTCTGGAGTCAGAATTACATCAGAACCCAAAAATGTGACTTGCTATTTAATAAATAAGTGGTCATCATTTATTAAGCATCCTCCCCGATCTTCACATAGGATTGCAGCAGTTACCTCGTGCCAAAATGCTGCATAAGTTAAGGATAAAGAAGAAACTGTAATGTGGAGACTTGAAGTGTAAAAAGTCACCATTTCCCTTCCTGGGAAAGATATCCACCTGGTTGATTAATTTATAAGGTTCATTTCATCACCCTGCTGTACTGAAGATGCCGTGGTCTTGGCAGACTCTAATAAATCATCTCCCCTGTTTCACTTTTGAGATCATGTCAAGATCTCAAACTCGCAGGGAGTTTTTGTTTGGTGACAGTTTGTTGCTTTTATTTTGCTTTTATTTGGCGTTGATGAGAGGGAAGGGAGTCTATCACACTGGTGTAGAGGTTTGTTTGGGACTCTCATTCTCAACCTTAGCCTCCTGAGTGCTGGAATCCTGAGTGTGTGTCTCCACACCTGGCTAACACAATTTGAGGAAGCATTGGTGTTTAACTCTGTGGGGAGTGCCATGATGCATTATCAACCACTTCAGCTCGCACATGGCTCACAATAAATGTCCGAGCAGAAATCTATTCTTACTTGGCAAAGTCGAAAACTGGAGCTGAAGTTGTTTTATGAGTTTGCTGTAAAGGCTAATTTTTGATAGTCAATTGGATCAAATTAAGATTCACCTGGGGGGAAGGAGGGCTGGAGAGATGGCTCAGCAGTTAAGAGCATTGGCTGCTCTTCCAGAGGTCCTGAGTTCAATTCCCAGCAACCACATGGTGGCTCACAACCATCTATAAAGCAATCCTTTTGAGCGTGCAGGTGTACATGCAGATAAAGCACTCATACATTAAAAAAATATATCTCAGAGAGTCTTTTAGGTATAATAGAGCAGGTAAAGATGGTGTCTACCAAGCCTGATGACCTGAGTTTGATCTCTGTGAACCACAAGACGCAAAGAGAGAACTGACTGCCCCGAATTGTCTTTAGGCTTTCATATGGGAGTTACAGCATGGACACACATAATTAATTAATTAATTAATTAATTAAAAATATTTAAAGCTAGAGATTGAAAGCATACTCCAGATGAGACTGTAAGGATGATTCTTGAGAGGATTAGTTAAGTTGGTAAAGACTCATTCTAAATATGAATGACACCATCACATGACGTAGGGGCCTGGAGGGAATAAAATGGGTAAGGAGAGCCGCCTGCATCCCTCTGTCCTTCCTATCTTCAGTGACTGGGTATGTATACTTCACCAAGAGGCTCTCCTCAAGTGCCTGGGGCAAAGCCACCACAGTTCAAACCCTGCACAGCAATGAGTCATTGCTCTTTAGATCACTGCTGTCAGGTATGTGGACACAAGGTATACAAGAGTTAACTAATACACCTGCACAAAGACCTGGCTTCAAACCTGACTGCCCATACCACCTCACCAGTGAACTGATCATTTAAAGGGCGAGTTTGGGCTACGAGGATAGCCCTGTGTGAGAGGCCCTGGTCCCGCACTCACCACCACACACAGGTGATCTGTCCTCATCTTATTTTTGTAAGGAAATAGCATCCCTCTCTGGGATCAGGTCAGGAGGAATGCCTGTGGATTTGGATTTTGTGAGACACAGAAAAGAGATCATGGTCAGAGGACAGCACCTTCAAATTTATTAATAATATGAAAGAACTCATATATATACATATATATGTGTATATATATATATATACTGGATAAACTTTCGTTAGCATATTTCAATTTCAACATACAATTTAAGATAGTAAGACATATTGTATAAAGGAAACAAGTAACTTCAAGATAAAGTATTTTGACTATAGAACAAAAATAGGTGTGAGAAATCAAAACCGGTTCTAGAGTTATCCAAATTTGGTCCTGGTCAGGACTGTGCTGGATACAGGGTGGAAGCTGGGGAGATGCAGAGCGCTTCATGAAGCAAATGGGTATTTCCACCTCAAGATGGCTCCGTCCGCACTCACACTGACGATGTACTGGTTTCCTGGGCTTATCCGCATGGCCATGATGTTGCCGCTGTGCCCCACCCCGACGTGAGTCACTTCACCCTCGTTGTAGTCCCAGACTTTGACCAGATGGTCATGTCCACCTGAAAAACAATTGCATGACATTGCTGACGGGGACTCGCTGAACAGCCCTGGCCTCATGGAACTGCTTTATTTTCAACACAGTGTCCCACGTGCCAACTTGAAGGAAGAAAAATCCATATTTATGTAAAGCTTTTTTTGATCTAAAAAAAAAATCTATGTTCTAGTAAATTTAGAGTGGAAAGGAAAGTAGCACCCAGGATTAACCACTGAACACACCAGCATCTCCTTCCTCTGTTCACAAATGGAGAGGTCTAGGCACATTGATGGGTATCCTAGTATATGTAGTTTGATATCTTTTTTTTTAGGTAAATGTATTACAGGTAAGGTAATATATTACATTACTCTGTGTAATATACCTGGCTGTCCTGGAACTGGCTTTGTAGACCAGACTGACCACCAACTTACAGAGATCCCCCCTGCTTCAGCCTCCTGAATGCTGGGATTAAAGGCGTATACTTTTTTTTTTTTTAAGTCAGTGTGCTTATGGAATCTTGATTTACTTGAAGCACTGATAAATGTCCTGGCAGTAAATTGTATTAATGCTGTTCCATTGGCTGTGACCTGTGGTAAGTGCCCCCAGACATCACTGAATTCAATAACAAACAAAGCAAACTGATGGTTAGGCACTGAGTGAAAAGGAGAGCAGGGGTCTACCTATTATCCTAGCACTCAGGAGCCTGAGGCAGGGGGATCACTAATTCAAGGCCAGCCTGAGCTACATATAGTAAGACCCTATCTCAAAACAAAAACAAATAAAAACAACCCAAAAAAATGCATAGAAAAGCAAGTAGAAAGCTTGGGACATTGAAAGCCTCATTTCTGCCCCAAAGAGCAATCACAGCCACGTAAAGCTTAGCTTTTCTCTGTGTCCTGCACAAATGTCATCCTTCATTGAAGTGTGACTTTCGGATCTTTCCAGCTTTGGTGGTGGGCTGTTCTGGGCTGAAGGTAACCTAGGTGTCCTTGAGACCCTCCACTAGCTCTTCTGACTTCCCCCCTCCTAAGGATTCCTTGTCCTCCAAGTAAGACAACTTATCTTATGCAGGACTAACCTGTAACGAAGTGTACTCCTTCCTGAGTGATATCCATACCATTGATGGACCCGGACAAGGAACCTTCCAGCTCTCTGATTACTGACCCATCAAATACTTCCCAGTAAGCAATCTGGAACGCAGGGGAGAGGAGGTAGACAGGAGTCAGTGGAATCATCCACACATATGCTAACAAAAGATGCCTCCACTTTATATAGAAAGTAGCAAAAATACACCATGGGAGGGGACCAGTTGGGATTATAAATAGGCCATGGTGAGGGGGTGGAGGAACCATTTTATTATTTTTAGTATTGGTTTTGAAGTTTGCATGCTATTTAAAGAGATGTTGATATGTGATAAACCTAGGTTTCGACGGAGATTCTTGATAAGGCCAAGCAGATTGAGGCTGCTGCCACATGTAAAAGAGAGAAGAGCCACTGATGGCTCTGCTCCTGAGATCTGAGGAGGAGGGCCAAGCTGCAGGCCCAGTGGGAGGGCAAGTTCTTTCTGGAGGATGGGGAATGAGAGTTCTGGAGACCGGGCTTTGCTAAGTCACTCACCCTCCTCCTCACCCCCGGCCCCCACCCCACCTGTCCTGTGACTAGACCCGATCTCATCTTGCTCCCACTCCCCCACCCCCACCTCCCACCCCCCACCCCCATGCGCCTCCCATCTTTATCCACCACCAAAGCTAAACTACAACTTGCCTTTGTGGCTTTGTGGCCTAAAACCAGCAACATATTCCAGAGGGTGAGATTTTAAGAACCT